TCACAGGTCCTATTTTTCCATTGGAAATCGACGGCCCCTCAACAACCGGGTCTACGCTGAGAAAAAGAGGTGAGAGAGTAGTAACAAAGAAGAACCGAGCGAAGAAACGGAATCGAAGTGTTTTATATTCATTTTCAATGGTTTCCTCAAACTAAAACCACCAGTCGTTGGATCACTTTTCGCTTTTTCAATTTAAAAATGTTATTCGGAAGCCTTCGTTCAACCACCTAACCTTATTCTACGTTTTTTTCTCTCCCTCTCAACGATGAAAAAGAAGCAAGGAAGACGAAAGAGATAGGGAAAGAGAGAGAAAGAGAGGATGGAAGGGGCGATGGTTAATCAAACGTGTACTTCACCATCGAAAAGGCTTCTTCTTCCTTTTGTTACATCTGCAGAACAGTTACGCGAGCCGTGCTCTTTTTAATTAAGTCGAAAGGTATCGCTTATCGCGATCCTTTCATCGTCGACCCGCGTTTTTTCAGAGTGAAAAACCAACGTGAATCTTGAACGACGCGAAATTAAATCGTCATAAAAATATGGAAGACAAAAGTGTTTTCTAATCATAAGATTATTTTCTTAGATAAATGAATTTAATCACGATGTAGCAAAATGAAAAAAAAAATATTTTTTTTAATAATACAACAATTAAATATCATCATAAAATTAATGCAATTAGAAGTCAACCTAACCTAACTTTTTGTTTCTTTCTATTTATTTATATATATAAATATATATATATGTATACAAGTATATTTAGAAATATATAAATAAAAAATTTATATTTTGCATTGTTTTTGATGTAAACATGAAAGTTTTTTTTCTTAGATATAATTGAAATGAGACTACTTTTCATACTGCGCATCGAAATATGTTTTTCTCGAGATTAGTCGAGATATTATTTTTTGTAACAGATATTTATATCAAAAATCGTAAAGTGTGAGAAATGATGTAGGAAGGCGAGGATTTCCAAGAAAATCCATCGTGATCGAGAGCATGGATCCTGCACGGGTCACAAGCTAACATCGTGTGATGGATAGAAAGAAGGACGTTGGCAGGAATTTTGTTCAAACACACTCGGAAACGTGCTTCCACGGCGGCATTGCACGTGTACATGCATTCGTAGGACCGGCTACACCTATGCAAATAGGTAGGAATACATAGTCCGTGATTGGGCTCTTCTGTTCTGCGAAGCCGTGCTGACTCTTTGCAAACAATGTTACCAGGCACGTCGCTGGAACGTAAGTAGCCGTACCCTATACTCTCTGTGGATTTTATCTCTTTCTTGGCGACGAGTCTTCGTAATATTCGTGCCACGTTAGCGATTCCTTCCACGAGTGGACAAACTCCTTGCACATGGATCCCTCTGTACCGATTGCAAATATCATACCTCGACTCGCTGTAGATACCTATATTGTGACCCTTTCGTATCGTGTTTGTTAGAGATAGCGGATTACATACATCGAGTTTTCAACACTGGCAATTTTTTCGTCAAATATTTTAACGAATTCATTCGAAATTGATTACAAGTTGGATGTTGACACGTGCTACGTGCCACGAATAATTAGTAAGAATAATCAGTTGACTAAAGAAAATTATCTTCGAGTTACAAACAGGATACAAACGGAGTGTGTTTGTTGAGCTGTATTTTTTTTCTATAAAAAAAAAAATTAAAATAATATTAATGTATTATATTATTTCATTCTAGAATGTTATTTAATTTAAATTTAAAAAAAAAATTACGAGAGACTCTAATTATAAATAATAAATCTATGGATTTTTTTCGATCTTTGCTCACGATACTCGTACTCCAAATTTCAAAACATTATTTTTCTCAATAGAACAAATGATCGCATATTCGATCGAAAGAAGGATGACACGAAAAAAAAAACTCGAAAGAGTTTCCTCGGTGTCGCTCTCGCTCGAGACTTGACAAATCGATCGTTCAACGCGATATCACGTCTGAAACGGAGTAAGAGAATTGTTGGAAGGAGAAGCCGAAGGCGAATGTGCACGGTCGAGTGAAATAATTTCCTGGTGTCCTCTACAGGCCACGAAAGAGGAAGAACGGAAGCGAACTGGTCTTTCACAAAGTTTCTTGGACACTCGAAGAAGCTTCTACTGTGAGAAACTGGCTGGATAATGGTCCCCGGGGTTTAGACGAAGGAGAGACCAAGTGATCCTTCGGGGATAAAGGGAGTACCGCGCGCGTACACACAAAAGAGACGTTCTTCCATTCGCGTGTGTACGAGGCACAAAGCGGTATCATACGGAACGATATTCGAGGAGTCCTGTTGGAAAGACCAAATCTACGTCGTCTTCTCCTTTTCAGAGTATAATCACCGCTTGCCCGCTTTATGGACGTGTACACTTATCTCTATCTAATGTCGACTTTTGGATATGGAATAAGTATCGATTTGTGAAATATAAATATTCAGATTTATGTATATGTATGAGTATATTTTCAATTGAAAATATTAAGCCTAATTGAATTCCTTTACTAATTTAATTAAAACGTTACTGAACGAATTAAGAAATTACAAGTTATAGATTATAGATTTTTTCGAAAATTTCGTATTTTATTTACACGTTACATGTCAAATAAAATGATGATATTTGGAATTTGTTTTATTTTCTTTTAAAGTCACATTTATTGTGATCGAAATAATATATAAGTAGAAATTAACAACAGACAAGCTTATCTAACATCAAATTTCTGTTGTAAATTCAATTAAATAACAACAAATACTATCAAATTAATAAAGAAAACTTTTATATTTAATTATTATCCTATAAAAAAAATCAATTTTAAAAAAAAATCATCAATTCAAAGGTTAAAAGATAATTGTTAATCACGATCATCAATTTATTAATAATCGTAGAACACACAGTGTCGGAGAATCTGGTCTAAAATATGTACAATACCGTATCATCATCGAGACCCTCTCGAAAACCGATGAGGAAGAGAGCGAGAGTGCATGAACCCTCTCTCCTGGCAACTTCAGAATCTTCGACCTAGCAAGAATACAGGAAACCATCGAACCAACCAACAAACCAACCAGCCAACCAGTCGTGAATCCCCCAGCGGTGGTAGGCACTGGCCCGAGAAATTCAATTACGGCTAAACTTCTCGACTGAAGACGCGTCTCGTCTATACACACTACTGTAAGCACTCTGTTTCGAAGATCGAACCGGGAGGAGACATCTCTCTGTGTATTATATATTTGCGACCCTTCTCCATCTTTCATAGGGAAATGAGAAACTAATTCCTCTGTGTCGGTCACGCGAATCACTGAGATATAACTTAAGCGAAGTTTCCGTCATCATGGCTACCTTTTCAGAAAAGTCGAGAAAGGAAAAATTGGAGGGTCGAAGAAGAAAAGAAAAAGCTTGAATTTTTTGTTTCTTCTATGTAAAGATATTAGATAAGTGATTTTTAATCTTATTTTTATACAATGATTTTATCATTGTGCAATAACTAATTTCAAATTAATATAAATATATATATATATATTCATTTATTTTAGTGATTTTTATTCAAAGATGTTAGAAATAAGAGATTGAAATTATAAAAGGCTCAAATTTCTATTATTATAAATCATAAATATTTAAAATCCTGTTCGCAAATAAAATTAAATATAAAATTTATATGTAAATATTACTGTTTTAAATGTTATATATCAAACATCGCATAAACAGTTTAGATTAAATTATCTAATTTTAAAATTTATATTATGTATTTGTATGATGAAAATCATCAATAATATTAAATATAAAATATAAAATATGAAGTAAAATTAAATATAATGAAATTAAACATTTAGTGATCTTATAAAGCATCTCCTTTCTCAAAATTAGATTTTATATGAAATGAAGAAACTAATTTTACAAATATCTTGTAATCAATTATCTATCTATTCTAACGATTCCGCAAAACTGCGATACGAGCAGCAAAAATGTGACACGCGACCAAGAACAGAATGTGCGTAAGAGAGAAGAAGATAGAGCGCATGCGTTTAGTACGCTTGAGTTGCGAACGAGTGCCCATTAGGAACGTGCGTGAACATACGCGACTAAATAGGGCAAGTGGCCAGAGACCATAATGTTAAGTAAATAATGGCCAAACTTCTGGCCCCTTATTATACCACTTAAAGCTTAAGTCTCGTATATACTCGTTAATGGCAGCTTTTTCTTCCTTTTTCTACTCTCACTCTTTCTCCTTTTCTTTTTTCTTTTTTTTTTTTTTTAATTCTCTCTCCTCACACAACCCTTCGCTCCTTTCTCGAGACTTCTTTCTTTCCTCCTTGCTAGTTCATTCTCACCCTCGGTAAAGTGCACACGCGTGTGTTGTTCACCTTCCCATAAGAATTGTGAGTGCGTGTCATTCTATTCGCGCGATTTCGATGATAATCCACTTGTTTGGTTTCAATGATCCACCAGTATTATACGTATATATTATTAGATTATGTAAAAAATTCCATTCGGATAACGGATGAAAATTCATATTGATGAAATAGCAGATTCAATGCAGAATAAAATTTAAAATATATGATAAAAGAAATTGTCAACATATCAATATCATAATTTGTTATTATGTTTATATAAAACTGAAATAATTAAATTAATGAAGAAAAATCTGCTTGGCTACATTTTCGATTCTTCATTAAAATGACAAGTTGATTATTTTTTACGCAGTTAATTGGTACAAATAAAATGGCTCATTTATGATACGTAATATGATAAAAAAAGAATCATGAAATAAAAACTTTAACTATTAAAATTAAATCTTTGTAAACTCTAAAGAATAATAAATTATACTTCAATATCATAGGATCATAAATTATCCAAGGAGGAAAGGAATTAAATTTATTTAAAAAAAAAACTTTCATGAACTATGAAAATTGAAACTTAAACAAACAAAACAAATTAATCGTATTGTTGTAAAAAAAACTTTATAATTTCGGATTACAGTGCAAGCAATTCCAAAGTGAAACTTTACTTACCGGCAATTCCACCGACGATTGATTCTTGTTTCTCGATCTTGGGCTGCCGATATTCATCCTGAGGAAGTCTCTTCCGCTGCAAAAGACTGCAATCAGGTTGCTGATGCTGAAGTTGCGTTTGAATGTGCGCGGCGGCAGCCGCGGCCGCGGCTGCTGCAGCCGCTGGAATTGCTAAACCGGCAGGACTTGCTACATGGGCCGGGTGCGGGGGCGGACTGCCAGCTGGCGTAGTAGCACTCGCTGCGCCAGGCAACACGGGAGCAGTAGTGCAGCTGCCAGCATTATATTGCAGTTGCAGGCCCAATTCGCGGGCTTCACTTTCCTCCTGGGCTTGTTGCCTTCTTAACGCGACCTGAAGAACATCTCTTCGTCAATTCACAAAATGTAATTGTGCAAAGTATACGTAAGTGTATAGAAAGAAATATATGTGTGGATATGTAGAGGATAAAATAAATAGATATGTATGATAAATAGGAGTCATTTGTCTTTCTGTTTATTCAAATTATGTTATATCACTTTTATGTTAATACGCAACCTCACTTTTTCAAAATTATGAGACAAAAATCATAAAATTTTGCAATTAAAAAACAAAAAGAAAAATTAAAACAAAGAAAATTTAAAAAATTTATTAAATATTATGCTTTATTATCTTTTATCATTAATTTTCAGAAGTATATATATAAAAAATTATTTAATATCATTGGTATTAACAGTAATTAATATATGTAATTTTACTTTAATCATAAAAAAAATATTAAGTAATTTCATAAAAATGTATATCTATATAACAATATCATTGTTTATATAATAGATTAAAAAAATCTATTCATTTTATATTTTATTTCTTTTATGAAATCATGAACATTTTGATTTTATTATAGATTTAAATGATTAACAAAATTATAAAAGATTATAAAAAAAGCAAAAATATATGAAATATCATAAGTTTTATTATTTTTAATTATTTTTAATATTTTTATTTTTTTAAAATAATATTATTTTTAATAATTAATTATTTTTAATCTAATAACAAATAAATATTGAATTTAAAATCAAGAAAAAGTTAACAATTCTAATCTCAATCATGTATTATATGTAGAATATTTTGAATATATTTGTCTAGAATATTTTTCTATTTTTCTATCTCTTTTTTCAATTAATATTATGATTTTCATTTTCATTTTCTATAAATATCAAATATTTTTATACAATCATAATATAAGTATCAATATAACCTAACTTTTGAAACTACAAGGATCAATAATTAAACTCTACTGAAAATATAAACATGATGAAGCACAAATTACATTTAAAACTTATATTTTATATATAATATAATTGAAAAAAAACAAACAATTGAAATAAAACATTCAAAGATTAACAAATCAAATTAAAAATAGTATCTACTATTCCCAAAATTTAAAGCAATTATGTAAAAGATTCTGAATTTTTAAAAAATTATTATAGTAATGCATGTTCAATTTTCATATATACACGTTTCACTTTTTTATTTATATTATGTTATGTATAAAAAGTAAATGTAAAATGACAAAAGAAGTATCCCATGTTTTAAAAAACATTAAAAAAAGCTGATTGAATTAATTTATGCTTTTTTAATATATCTACTATGTCATTGAAAACAAAACTCAGCATGCTATAATGAAATATTTTTATCACAATTGTTTCATTTTATATGGAACATATATTAACATAATATCAAAGATCTAATAATATTTAAAAAAAATTGGCAAATTCTTATTAACGATATTTTATATGAAATATACTTTCTATATATAATTTCCTTAATCATAAATACAAATCATTATCTGTCAACTATATAATGATAATTTTAATCACTATGTTTTACTTAATCGATTTATATAATTTAGAGTTTTTTCAATTAAAAAAATTGTTTTAATAAGTATCGTCGAAATAATAATATTTGTGTTTAATATAAATTAATGTCGTAATGACAATTTACCTGAGCAGCCATGACCCGTTGTCTCTCCGCAATTAATGTACATTTCGCACATACGCAATCCCGCCAACGACAGTATCGTTTGTGACCCTTTAACGCGGAAACAACACCGTGATTACGGCATCTTGCACACTTCGGTGTCCTTTGATATCTCTCAGCACTAGCACGAAGAAAAAACGCGGCTGGTAACACGTGATGTTGCTGCTGTTGTTGCTGATGTTGCATTAATTGACCTACGTCGACACCAAGACCGACACCCCGCGGCAACGACATTGTTTGGATAGATAAGTAATAATAATTGAATCAACGTCTTGAATAAAAAATATAAAAGATATAAAAAAAGAACCGATCACTTTATGAATGATTGATAAAATCAACAATGTCACGGATCTGTGGGCATTGTTATCAAACTCACAGTAAAAAATACTCGATCACAGAAAATAGTCATTTTTAGCTGAGCACAAAGCCCAATATACACTAACACGTATCGATCTCATTTTAACACCGTTGCGATAAAAATTGTTCACTACCGAGTATTATTCATAACCGTAATATTTAATTACACAATTACGTTATAATGTTTATATCAATAAGTTCTGATGTTTCCAAGTTACACTGTCATATAAATATCTCAAATTTCTAACTGCATCACATTGAATTATTAATTGATAAAGGAAAGCTACAGAGTTTAACGATAGAATGTAGTCACACAGGTTCTTCTTACTTCAACCGAAGAAATCACATTTAACGCTGTTCGGTAGAAACCTTCAAACCGGCACCGTACAGTGAACGAACGAGAGAACGATAGAGAGAGATAGATATGAGGAAAAGAAAGAAGAAAGACGGAGAGAAGTGATGACGAGTACGGTGAAGAGAGAAAGCTCGACTGGTAGACATGCGCACGCGCCTACACTTCCGAAAAGTTCACCGGCAGAGAAGAGCGGCGGCACCACCGCTCGTACGGGTGTCGGGGTACGAAATGCGGAATCGCCCCGACTCCTCTCACAGCACTCTCTCTCACTCTCCGGCATTGTCAACAATTGCAGCATCCCGGGAGAGTCGATTCAGGTAGCGTGGAGAGACAGAGAAGCGACGACGATAGTGGTGTCGGCAGTAAAGAGGGAGCCGAAGGCGGACGAATAAGGAGGTGGGGGCACATAGGCGCGGAGGAGGGGAAGATAGAAATCAAGGGGGGGTTCAGAATGTCGCAAGGAGACCAGGAAGCGAGGGCATAGAAAAGAAGAGAACGAGAGAAAGAGGGAAAGATAGATAGAGATAGAAACTGAAAGTGTGGAGGAAAAATGTGGAAGAAGGTGGAAAAGTGAACGGGGAGTGGGATACCGAGAGGGAACACTGATACCGAAAAGAAACGAATGTGCACGAAAGAGACCGATACTGCGCGAAGTGGAACATGTCAGAGTGAGATAACGTGACAAAAGAAGAAAGAAGGAATGAGAATGGAAAGCGAGAAGGAATTTATTGGGGAGGGATAGGGCAGAAACTAACAGCCCCTCCACAGTTGCGCGAAATAAAACACTGTGCCACAGTGTTCCACCCCGGGGCTTCGGCCAAACGCAAAGCCGCGCTTAGGCACGGCCACGCCCGCGCACCTATCTGATTGGCCGAACATGCTGTTCCACCAAGATGTTAAGAGTATCTGGCTAGGGGTGTAAGGGGGACATACCTAACCACGTACCCACCTACCTACTCACCCTCAATAAACTATGCGTATACAAACGCACGTATCAGACGTGTGTATTTTCTATCGTACTGGAGGAGGCAAAACGGACAAACACATTACTCTTTTATTTAAAACCCGTTCCAACGTAAAACATAATACGAGCGATGCTCAGACGTTTCTCTCTATGCTCCGCCTTTTGTTTCGTCCGAACTGTTTTTAACCATACGCGCCTTCTTCGTTCCCTCTCTAAGAAAGAACATAACCTTTAGTTCTTCCTTTTTCTACTTTTCTTTCTTTTTTCCTTCTTCTTCTTTTCTTTTTTTAATTTTTTTACTTTTTTTACTTCTTTTCTTTTTTACCTTGATTTGTTCGGTCACGGTTGCTCGCGCTTCATCTGTCTCTCTCTTTTTCTTCTCTTTCCTTTTTTTATTTTTCTTTTCCAATTCATTTTTTCCTTTTTTAGATCCATCGAATCCCACACAAGCACACAGGCCACAACGTCATAGCGACGAGCCTTTCTTGAATCATATTCCACAATGAGGTTTCAATAGGGGAAGCCCTATTGTCGTTCACCAATGGCGACCGATTTTATAGTGATCTAATGTACAGATGTTATTTACCCCGCAATGAGAATGGAATAAAAGCATTCTATGTATTAAGCATTCTCTGATTTGGATCCTGTATATCTCCTGCTTACCGACCTATTGCAATCCATCTACAGACGTACAATAATACATGCTCAGGCCACGTATCGCGCACAATGGCACTATTACTCTTTTGACTTAGTCATGCGAACAAAAGTAACTATATCGCTATATTTTCGAAGAAACCGTATTTACATTTGAATAATAATTATACATACATATAACTGGTTGTGTCACATTACACGTAATCCGGTATTAAAATTTAAAAATATAAATAATAAATACGTATATTATTAGAAACTAATATCTATAGTAATTTAAGATTCCTTTTTATATTTTTTTGATCGTATATTTTGTTTCATTTTTTCTAATTCTTTTTTATTCATTTTTAATATAAATATTTTCAAAGAATATTAAAATTAAATTTTTTAAGATTGTAATCTATATTATTACAAGCTGTAGAAAATATAAGGAAAAAAATCACTGTTATATTATAAATATTTAGTCAAAAATTGAATTACTATAATTGTTATAGAATTACTATAGGCATTTTTTTTTAATTAATTAATATATAATGTCTACTTGAAAAATATGAAAATTAAAATTAATAATTATTAAAGAATTATTTAAAACTTTTACATTAATAAATAATTATTTATAGATAAATATTCTTTTATCCTATTGCATACATCTTTATTCTTTGTTCTTTTTCCTTTTCCTTTTTTTTTGTTTTTTTCTAATTTCTAACACATTGACACGCAGTACAATGTATTACAAGAAAAACAACGGCATATCGATAAATAGCTTATTTATAGAACATATTATTTTCAAGTGTACGTCATCACATCGGTCGCAGAATAGAAAATTGGTATAAAACGAAAGTAATGCGTTTGACCGTGCACACTACAGTGAATGGCACGTTTCAGGGCGGTTACGAACCGATTAATTCAACTCGTGCGTCATTAGTGAGAACGCAATGACGGTTTGAGCAACATTAAAAGCTCGCACACGAAGCGGTATTCGTCGATACCGTTGATATATGTACACCGACACGGACCATTTTTTACTCTGGCATATCAGCCACTCAAAGCGTACGTACGCGCCGATGGATAAATCAATAAACCAATAGCTATGGTAATGCACACCTGCTTTTAAAGTATCAGCCCCTCCTCGCGTTCCCGTTTACACGATCCATACAATTATAAGTTGAATTCAGGATTTTATACTTCCGCGTAATTATTACAAAATTGCACCATATAAAAATATCATAAGCATAAATTAATCAAAAAACACAAAATAAATTAAATTATAAATTAATCAAATATAATCATACTTAAATAATAATATTTAAATTCATCATACTTTATAAATTTTGAATCAGATAAATAGATAGCTATTAGAACTATAATTAATAATTAATATGATCATCTTATGTTTTTATATTAATAAAACATTCGTATATATGCATTTGCATCCAGTTTCATATCAAACGTATACGCGATTGAATTTTTTCGATATTAAAAGTAAAATTTCTAATAGTTTCTTAAAATCGTTTTATTATTAATGACGTAAATCATAGTAATGAAAAAATATTTAGATGAAAAATCTTATCTTTTAAATTATTTAAAATCTTAATAAAAATATATTAACTATAATATATAAAAATATATTACAGATTATCTAGATTAAAGAATTGACATGTTATATATTTGAAAAAAATAATCATTTTAAAAAATAATCCTTTCAATTAATGAAATATTATTTTCCTTTTTACATTTAAATATCAATAATCTCTTTTTTATTATTAATTTTATTAATTTATGACAAAATATATTTTTTTAGAAAATAAAAAAAAAAGATACGTAAATGTAAAAGGTTAATAATGTTAAGTATATATACAACTAGATAATTCATCTTTCCAATTTTATCAATTAGAAATAGAATGGTTTTTTTATTTTTTTTTATATTGTTCAAAAAAAAATCCTTTTCATTTCATTTCTTTTTTATCTATAAACAACTAAAGAAACATGATTTCCTTGTCCGCGTTTACATCACATGTATATCGACAGGTAGAAGTTCATTCACCTACGCAAATATTAGAGATCATGATCAATCTGGTACCTGCACCTCTCTTTTCTTTGATATAGCGACCTATGATCTAATCTCTCTTATCCGATCGAAAGGTGATTCGATCTGTGTGATGTTGGCAAACATTGTAACTCGATTCTTGATCTTAATCTCCTGTTTCCCCTAATATAAACAACTTTCCGAAGGGGAAAACTGGTATAAAACTTATAATTCTTTACTGATTTTTTACCTGCTACCATCGTTAAATCGGATACATCTGGAAACATTCTAAGATCAGGAAGTAAGAATCGTGGGAGAATCTTTGAAAATATCAATCCCAATCTTAAATCCTTAGAAATCTTTTCTATAATATCTATTGCTATTCTTTTTCAGTGTTTCCATCTTTTCTAATAAAGAGAAAATTTCCATTTTAATGAATTTGTCGATTAGCTTCTTAAAGAATGTTATTTCAAATTTTTTAAACCAATGATATAATATTAGAAATTTTTTTTTGCGAATAACTCGAAAACGAAAATCGATTGCTGATTGTGTGTGAAAAAAAAGTTAAACAAAATGAAGTATTTATTATTAAATTGAACCATAATTCTGTATTGACGGGCTAAAATATTAATGCCTTAAATTCTATTTTTTGAATAATAATTGATCCAGAATCGAAAACAATTATATTTCCCCGATTCCAATTTTTAATTGATAATTTTATTATTAGATTTATCATAATACGAAATAGTTATAAATCAATAATATCAAATAGTAAGTAAATATATAAAATTGTAAATATATAAAAATTTGTATTACATCTAATGTAATAAATAATTACATTATTAATTATTTAATAATTAACTACAATTTCCTAAGTTATCATATTTCAAAATCAATTGCTATTTTTAATCCCGAGTCTATTCTATTCGTGTAACAAAAATAAATACCAATACGATAAAAAACGATCATGTTTAAAATAATAGATGTACCAATTTTATATAGTTAGAAAATGCAAAGGAATAAATATAGTGAATTAGAAGATAAACTCTAGACACTTATGAAACACGTTTGTATTAAAAAATAGTGAGATATAGATAGAAGAGGGAACGGTGTCAAATCGAGGGCGACATATGCAGAAGCATATATATTTCGACAGTACGATAGAGTACGGATGGCATTCAACGCGTCACCGTCGCCGGATGAACCTACGGTCTCACCCGCGATCTACCGTACGCCGGTGAAATACCGTATGACTTTTTGACGTGCTTTTAACAGATTGAATTGAAAATGGCTTCCATGGTACCGATATATCCGCGAGACCACATCCATACTCTGGAAACGACTGTACGAATCGACGGACGTGAGAGACGAGATATATAATCTTTTTCCTTCTCTCTCTTTCTCTCTCTTTCTCTCTTTCCATCTACCACCCTTTCCCTCTTTTCTCTCACTTTCACACCTCACCGAAACTTTTTCTCCCTTCCTCCCCTTTTTCCTTCTCATACCTCTTCCCTCCTTTCGCTCTTTTATATATTTAACTCACTTCCTCCCATCTTTCGGGAAATCGTTTTCCTCGTTTCTCGCTCTTCTGCCCACGAACCCTATTTCTATTTCTCTCTTTTCAATTTTTGCACATTCGCTGATACGGCACATTGTAAGCTGCGCCGGCGGAAATGACGACGACGACGACGACGAGGAGAAGCAGAACTGGACTCGTGGTCACTCGAATCACGGCTGGACCGGAAAGGAAGAAGAAAAAGAAGAGGTGGAGGACCGCGTAAAAATAATGTCCTGGATCATTTTTTAAAACCCCAATCGCAGAGAGAGAGAAAGAGAGAGAGATAGAAAGACTAGGAGGAGTCAGAACTGCGTACGAGCTGGGGTTGTGTGGTAGAGGAAAAGAGAGAGAAAGAGAGAAAAAAAATAAACGTGACGGACCATGGGTATAGACATCGTCGATATTACGGGGTGCAATAGCACGGGACGACCAACGCCAGATGAAACGGTCAAAGCTAAAAAGCTCTCTCCGCCGAAACGGGCTATATATTATCTGCAACCCTTCAAACACAGAACACACCGAGATCCATATATAACCCATATGCGTACGCTTTTCTATGTACCGTTTCTCTGCCCAGGAATCTGCCATGCAATCGCAAGTATGGTCTGTTTTCAAGTCTGTTTTCAATAAACATTGCTATGATTACAGTAGAAATTATGTATTATCTAAATTCAAATAACTTGAAACCTCTTTATTATGTGACTTGTTATTTTATTTCTTTTTAGACTTAATAAAATTTCAATATTTTATGTTTTTTTTTTGTTCCTTTAAATACTTACAACTAATTTATAAAACACTTTATCAATATGAATCTATTAATCTAATATTATTTTATTTTATCATTATTTGACTTGGATAACAACAAATTTTAACAATAAATATAGTAAAGTAGTACATATACATTTATTCCAAAAGAACTATTAATTTTGTATTAATATCATTCGAAACTGAAAGATACTTGAACTTTTTATCTATAAAATATTTCGAATTATTTATTCCGATCCTTAAAAAAATCAAATTTAACTTGTAATTAATTTTATAACTTATTACATTATATTTATACTATTGATCATTATTTTTGATTCTATTTTTATAATTAATTATTAACATGCATTATACATGTACTATATATAATATATATTTTTTATATATATTTGTTTATAAATTGTTTGATAATTTAATTGTAATATAATCGAAAACATAAAAATAATTAACTGTATAAAAAAAGAAACAATGCAAACAGAATTATATATATAATAAATATATACTATATAAATATATACATATGTGTATCAAGTATAGTTGAAGAGAATGAAATGGGCGTGGTTAGCATCCCCTAGTGAGACAGTACCAACCAATGACACAGCATTACGCGTATGGAAACAGTTGCAAACGCAAGCGCCGTCGGGGTGTAGCTGCAAGCTAGTGATAGGTTGATGTGTAAGAGTATTTAATGTATAAGCGCAGACTCGACATTGGTACCATTGTCCAAAAGGTTACGCCTGCTGCGAACTTGCATTCAGATTGGTTACAATTGGTTAATTCATATAAGAAGTTTTACAACATCTATTCTAATTGTTCATTTTCTTTTCCTTCATTATTAATTTTTTATTTTGAAAATTTATAATTATTTTTATTTTATTTGTTAAAAGTATAAACAAATTTAATATAAAATATAAATAGAAATAATAAAGAAATATATATATATATACTTATACTTATATATAAGTATATAAGTATACTTCTCTACGTCTATTAAAGTAAATTTTCATTAGTTTATTTCAATTAAATTAGTTATTTGTAAATAATAATTATGTAAAAAGAATTTAAATTTATTTATTAAATATATTTATTTATTTATAAATTGTATAAAATGAATATGTTAATATTTAATATTGTTTACTTTTTCTTATAAAAAAAATGTTTTTCCCTATAAAAAAAATTTCTTTAATAGTATTGATATTTTTACTAGATAAACATTTTTTTTGCTATTAATTCATTTTTTTTCTTTAAGAAAATTGTATGTTATTTCTTCAAATTGTAAAATTTTTTAAATATAAAAAAAAATTATTTAATATTTATTAATATTTAATATTAATAAGTTATTTTTATAAAACTAATAAATTATTGTTTTTTATATTTCAATCAATGTATTAAGGTTGGAATAATAATGTCATCTTCCATATCACAGTTTTCCAAATTTAATAATTGTTCATACTGAAATAGTATTGGTAATGGTTCTTTGGAATAATTGTTCAAAACAAGCAACATAGTACATATAATTTGTGAAGGATTTTTATAAAAAAACTTATATTGTTTGTCCGCATCTGCACATTTATTATAAGCTTCCTGAATGAAGTCGCCATCAGATGTAAAGAATAATATTCTAGGTACATATCCGCCATCTGGCTTAAACTGTTTTTGATTTAAAATTTTATCATTTTCCACATCCGCTTTTATCATTATAAAACTATAATCCAGTAATAAAATTGTTAAATAATTAATAAGAAATTACAATTATTTTTGTTTATTGATCTCGAATTATTATATATTATTTATAGATGAAATATTATTGATTAAATGAAAATATTAAACATTATTATAGTATCCTCTAATAATTATAAACTTAATTTTAATTCATTCTTATAATAATACATACCGATTGCTAAGATCCATCAAATGTATAGATTTCGAAAATTTCTGTTTTAATTTTTGACAAGAAGGACATTGTATTTTGTAGATAAATAAAAATATTGGTTTCTGGACAATCTTAACCTCTTGGAAACCACATTTAAGAGATTTCCATTTGAACAATCGTTCAAAATCAGCTTCATAATTTGAATCTCCATTATTAACAAATTTATTTCCTATATGATTTGCTAAATTGATTAAGTTTAAAATACTGAGGTATTTGATGCGATGATTCATATTTTTAACGAAAATTTTTCACAATTTTGTTATAATGCAAATAATAATCGATTTTAAATATCTTCAATTAAAAGATTTCGATATATCGTTATATTATTTATTTTAGAATAATATAGAATATTTTTTAAATAAATGATAAAGAAAAAAAGAAATTCATGATCAATTAAATATTATTTTATTTTCTTATATAAATGTAATTCACTACAAAAATTGAAACATCAATTTTATTATATGTCGATATAATACTGTTTTACTAGCATTACATAAAAATACATTTTCAAAGTGTTTATAAATCATGCCGTTTTGGCGACACTGTAACGTGTTTAAAATTTTGCGCCATATGATTGAACTACAGTTTTTTATATATCTTATAAGATAATTTAGTATTTTTTCTAAAAATATGAATTATTGATTATCTATCTTATCTTATACTTCTACTGTTTTTGTCTTATATTTTATTCAAAACAAATATTCACATTATTTTTATAATAATGTGACAATGGTGAAGAATAATTTTACATCAAAAAATAGGTTAAGATTATTGAATTGTTCTATTACATTATTTTCTAATAACGCAAAAAAATAAATCATAGAAAAATGAGTAAACTATGGAATTATTTAATATTTCAAGGATGGATTTCATATATGATGGCAGCCAGTTTATTAATTTTTACGAGTGGCTTTTTGCTGAATCGTATTGTCAGACCAGAACGTGCGGAATGTAAATATTGTACACATTCTGAATGCAATATCCAAGAACTTCTTCAAAAACCCGAAACTGCCGCAATTACATGCCTTAACCGAAAATCACGTGTTGTATTATTAATCGTAGATGCCTTAAAATATGATTTTGCATATTGGTATGATGATAATACTTACACTTCATCTTATTATCACAATAAATTACCAATAATTCATGAATTATTACAAAATCAACCAATGAATTCACGTTTGTATAAGTTCATAGCAGATCCTCCAACAACAACTATGCAACGATTAAAAGGTCTTACTACAGGTACATTACCTACCTTTATTGATATTGGATCTAACTTTGCTTCTGAAAGCATTAATGAAGATAATATTGTTGATCAAAACATTGCTAAAGGCATTGTTTTTATGGGTGATGATACTTGGACTAATTTATTTCCTAATAAATTTAAACGTCAGTTTCCATCACCATCCTTCAATGTTTGGGATCTGGATAGTGTTGATAAAGATGTTAGATATCGTATATTTTTTGAAATGAAGAAGAAAGATTGGTCTCTTCTTATAGCTCATGTTCTTGGAATTGATCATTGTGGACATAAACATGGTGCTAATCATCCTGAAATGAGTAGAAAATTAAATGATACAAATATTCTTATAAAAGAAATCATTAAATCTTTAGAAGAAGATACAGTACTTTTTGTTGTTGGTGATCATGGAATGACAGAAAGTGGTGATCATGGTGGTGATAGTAACAATGAAATTGAAGCTGCCATGTTTGTTTATTCTATGATTCCTCTTCTAAAATATGATCTACCTAATAATATTGTAAACCAAATTGATCTTGTTCCTACATTGGCATCAATTCTTGGAATACCTATACCATTTTCAAATTTAGGATCTATTATAATTAATTCAATACCTAGTTCAGCAAAAAATGGAAAATTAGAAGATGATTTATGGTATTTATTACATTCATTGTGGAGAAATATTGCACAGACAAAAAAATATATAAATGTATATTCTGCAGATAATTATCTGTTTTCTAATGAACAGCTTCAAAATTTGGAGCATATGTATAATTATTTATTCAATCAGATTAAGAGCATAACTACTATTGAGGAATTTAAATCTTTTATTATGAATAGTCAAAATTACTTCAAACTTCTTAAAAATACATGTTCTGAAGTTTGGGTTCAATTTGATTTTAGTTTAATGTCAAAAGGTTTATTTTTAATGTTTTGTACTTTGTTTTTTTTTTACCTCATTATTAGCATTCCAGAAAATCGTATGTCTAAAATATTTCAGTCATCATTTTTACAATATTCTATTTTAGTAAATTTAATTACTGCATTAATAATTTGTTTTTTATTTTCCTTTGGTATTTTAGAAGAATTAAAAAATACTATTTTATTTATGACTAGTATAATATCTATAATATTATTAGCAATATTAATTATTAAAAATTGGGATGTAATTTCATTAAAATTATATGATTATCAAAAAATAAAAAAAATGATGTATGTTACAAGAATAATACTTTTTTTAATGATATGTAATTTATTTTCTAATAGCTATATTATTGAAGAAGGTAATATGTTATCTTTTTTAATTGTTACACTTTTTTGGTTTTTTGTGTTTAATTTAAAAAAAAAAGAAATGAATGAAAATATAGAAAGAAAAACAAAGCCATTTTTAAAATCACAGACAAAATCAAATTTAAAAACAATTATAATAGTTACTGGTTTAATAGCATGTATTTCTATACGATTATCTTATTATTATTGGCGTTGCAGAGAAGAACAACAATATATATGTTCTACATTTGTAACTGGCAAAACAGGTTCTATAACATCAGACAATTTACTTGTTATCACCTTAATTATACTTGCATTATATATTACAATAGTAAGATTATGGTTAAAAAATTGTGGAAATCTTTCTGGTTTCTCTCCCAGTGTTTTGATAGGACAATATTGTCCTGTTATAATTGGTATTTGTATAGGTTGTTTCTGGATTCTTCAAAGATTACCAAAATTTCTTAAAATAAAATTTACATTATCTTGGCAAATAAGTATGTTGCCTAACATAGTATATGCATTGAGTCTGTTTGCAATTTTTGTACTGTATTATCGTCCACTCAGTATATTTTTATTACCAAACAAAAAGGAATCAATTAATATATATCATGATGAAAATATAGTACCACGATTATTTAAGAAAATAAAGGAATCAATTTATTGCAAAAATGTAGAAATAAATCAAACACCAATTGTTTATGGTTTGAGTACTGCATATAGTGCCACATTTGTCTCATTAAGTGTATTTCTTATGTTGTTATATTCTTTATTATTAGGAGATATATTATCACCTAGTACCTTTTTAATGTTTATATGTTGTGTCTCTGTTTTGGGCTTATTGGCAATAGAAAGACATAGAAATGCTAATAATATATGTAAGTATTTTGATATATACAATAAATAATTTAATTTATATATTATATTCCTAACATTATAATTTTAAAAACAGCTGAACTTGTAGAAGTGCCTACTCCTATACTATTGTGTTGGTTTTTAATAGCAGAATATTTCTTTTATGGAACTGGGCATCAACCAACTTTTCCCACTATTCATTGGGATGCTGCTTTTGTTGGAACAGGTGGACATTTTTATGGAACTTTATTCGCAGCAATTTTGATAGGTATAACATTTTTGTTTAATTATTTAAATATTACTTACAAGAATTTCAATATAACTTCTATAAATAATATTACAGGAATAAATACATTTGGATCACATATTATATTAGGTGCAACATTGCCATTATTAGTTATTGTACCATTTACTTTCTATCTTGTATTTCCGAACTTAGCTAAAGCAAAATTTTCGGAAAATGATATGAAAAGAGGAGAATTACTCTTATTTGAACAAGATTCTGTATTTCATGCTGCTATTTTCTCGGTTGCAGGAAAATATATACTTCTTCATGCAATCAGAGTAAGTAATATTTTTGATATTTTAGATCTATTAATATTATAAGAATTAATATTATAAGAATATTATAAAATTAAATATATATATTTATATATTAAATATATATATAATAAAATATAAATATTATAAATACTATAAAAAAAATAATTTGAAATNTTATAGACATTCAGCAGCATGCTTGCTACAACGATTCATTGTCGACATTTAATGGTTTGGAAGATCTTTGCACCGAAATTAATATTTGAAGGTTTGGGATTATTGGTAACCTTAAGCAGTGTACTAGCATCTTTCTATATGGTGTTCAGAATCGACCAACAAATGGAACATTTTATATCCAGAATGACAAAAGGCAGATGATAAAAAGATAAAATTTTTTGATATAATATATAATCAATATAACATAAAATATCAAAAATTAAAATAAGATAAAACAAGAAAAATGTGTGCAATAATTCATTTCTTCTAATTTCAAACAAATTTTTTTATTAAAGAAAAATAAATTAAACATTCAATTTAATACATTTACCAGTACTGTCATTTTTATAATTTTATATAAAAAATAGATAAAAATGTAATTAATACAAAAATTAAATTGAACATAAGAATAAAATATCTTCCATTTATTCAAAAATCAATCATTAATATTGATGTTTCCTAACACACTAACACTATCCTGCTTACAATGTATTGCTGATTATAGAGAAACAAAGCAATGCACTTGATGCAGGATTGCGTCCATGTGCGTTGATAATTATTTAACTGTTGCCATATTATACATTATTTCATATTATATACATATAATATATATTATAAACAATAATATAAAATCTAATAAAAAATATGTTTTCAGGAAAGCTTTTTTAAAAATAAAATAGTAAAACTTTTCAAATTAATAACTTTCTTTTAAATAGATAGTTCAGCATATACTTTGCAAAATATACTTTATTAAAAGATATCAAATATACACAGTATATAGTAATTATAGTATATAGTAATTATATATAACTATATGTAAGTAATTATATGTGAAAAAAATGATTAATTAAAAGAAAAAAGATTGTAATTGTAACAGATGATAGAAATATTTCTACTAAATCAATTAATGATGATTGTGATGCTGATGTCCTCGATATTTATTTTTCAGATATTTCATCCAATTAGCCCATTTATTTATGTCCTCATAATTGTTAATATCCTACAAACAGATAAACATGTTCACTATATTCATAATATACAAATTTCATGTACTTAATATTCGTAATTATTATTTTGAAAATCCTGCATTTGCATATTAGATAATACAGATATTTGTATCTGAAAACAAATCAAATCATGTATATGTATAAAATATTTTATTATTATTTATTTTACAATGATGCAAACATATTTATAATATTTTTTAATATCACAAATTATTATTAATTATTATAGTTATATATTTCATTATATACAGTGTATAAAATATAGATTTAAAATATATTAGATTTTTAATTAAATTTTTTAACTATTTCTATTTAAGTACTTACAAATAATTTAATTTCTTCGCCTTGATGTTCAGATGCAGATTCTCTATCTGTTTGTACTGATTCTATAGAACCAATTGGCAAACTTTGATATCCTTGATGTATTTGCATCTTAACTGAACGTGTTTGTTTTTGATTGAAATTATTTTCTTTGTTCATTAAAGATTCAATATCACTTTTAACTTCTTCTTTTATATTTGCTATATTTTTAGGATAAGAAATCCAAAATGGTGGATTTTCTAACAATGTTTGAGCCATTTCTGATCCAAATTTATCAAAACTTGGAATATATGAAACAGGCATGCCATAATCTAATGTATTTAATTTATATTTAATAGCATCCAATAAACTCATATTAATAGGCATACCATTAGAAAAAACATCATTAATTATTGGATAATTAGCATTAAAAAATCTTTCAGGAGATATGATTTTAGTTTTTATTACATTTTGAATTTCCAAAGTAATATTTTTTTGTAAATTTGTTAGCATATCAAATACTTGACTCAAAATAGCCATTTTTTGCTGGAAAGGAAATACTCCATTAACTAATGATTTTGACCATGAACTAGGATCAAATGATTTGGAGGATTTCGTTGGTGACAATGATGTTATAGATTTTTCATAAGAAATTAAATCATTCATTGTTGTTATCATATTACTTTTTAAATCACTCAATTCAGATAATATGCTATTAACAATAGAATCTTTAGCTACATTAATCGATGACAAATCTTCAACAGATCTTGTTATTTTTACTTGTGTATTATCTTCATCAGATACAATAGATCTTGCCACATTTTTGTCAACATTCATATTATCATCATTAAATGTCATAGTTTTATTTAGTTTTAAATTTTCAAACAACCTATTTAGAAATTTTGTTATTTTTTCACTATACATTATTGGATTTGGAATTCCTGATGGTAGCCAAAAATCTGAAGATACAATGGTATTTTTTGTTGTTGGAGCTTCAGTTGAAGTTAGTGGTGTAGTAATAGCAATATTTTTAAACAAATTATCTAAGAAAGCAGATTTTTTTATTATAAACATAGATGGATCTACCATAGGATCAAATGTTCCAATTAAATCATATGGTTCAAACATTCCTGATAAATATTGTTTTGGTACTGTTGCACTTTGTATCTTTTTTGTGTTTATATATTCTTCTGGTTCTTCAAAAATTGGAGCAAGAGTGGGATAAAGAGATGAAAATCCCAAATCTTTTGTTTCTGATTTATTATTGTTCATAATTGATTTAAGATTTGATGCAAAAGACTTATCTACACTTCTTTTTTTATGTGAAAAATCATTCTTCATACTGTAGTCAGGTAGAGTATTTAAATTTGAAAATTGAGATATAGATCCAAACTTAGAATTCATAGGATCAAAAGATTTAAAACTAAAAGGATTAAAAATTCCACGTTTATATGAATAAGTATCATCATCTACATTATTTTTACCTAATAATTGTGGTTCATCAATTGTATTATATATAGATGATCCACTTATAGCATATGGTATAAATGATTTAAAACTCATAGGATAAGCAGATCCTAAGTTACCAAATAAATTGGTCAGTAAATCTGTCTTCTTTGAAATCATCATTTTAGGATCAACAAATTTTGGAAAAAAAGGAAACTTTGATATATAAGGTACTGCTATAGTATCTATTTCTGATATTGGTCCAAGAGCTCTTGTATAAACTAAAAACATATTTTCATATAAAATAATATAAAGTATAAATAAAATAATATAAAATATTACAATTTTTTACAATTTTTTACAATTTTCAATCTAATGTTTAAATTTAAGAAATTATAATTTTAAAATGATTTTATTAAAATTATTTTCAAAATTAAATAATTTATATTATATATTACCAGGTTTTGGAGCTATGTTTATCCATGGTGATCCTGTAGGAATTTTAAAAGCTGCACTAACTTTTAAAAATATCAAAGAAGAAAGAAATATTAGATCTTTTGACAAAATCATTTTGTACCAATTTATTATTTAATTATATTCAGTTATCGCTTTTATAGCAATAGTCAGATAATAATACTTGCAAAGCTCTTAAGATTATTATAGAATTAATATTCTCATTATAAAATAATCCATAACATACAGAATATACACTTGTGTTTCATACCAATACAATTCTTTCATATTACTTTGTAAAATAATTTCCTTTTTACTTGTGTTATTTTTTTATCATATTTAATCATTGTATTTAAATAGTTAAATATTTTTATAAAAGAGATATTTAAATTTATTGAAAAAAAAAGAATAAATTCAAATAAAAATTCATATAAAAAAATAATTAAATAGAAAATAAAATAATATAAAATATAAAAATTTATTTTAACTTTGATTTACATTTATTAATTTTATTGACTTTATTATAATCAATTTTCTTTTTTTTTAATTATTTGTATATTAAACAAAATAATTATATTATTATTTTTTATTTATTGAATATAAAAACACAGATTGACTTTTCTTTCTAAATTATAATCCGATTTCAATCGACTTGTAAACGAACTTGCGAGAAACATGTTATTCATTTGTTGACAATAATATATCAAAGCAGCTGTTTTCATTATTTAGTAATTACCAATTAATTGTATTAATATCAAAGAAAGCTGTCACTTTATAGAAAAACATTTATATTGAAATGGAAATAAAAGGTTCTTCTGATAGTAAGTAGAGAGAAATATTTTTTTTTATTTAAAATATTATATTTGAAATAATAATAAATATATTTTATATATTATATATTATATATAATATATTATATTAATTATAATTATATTATATATTATATATTATATATTATATATTATATATTATATATTATATATTATATATTATATATTATATATTATATATTATATGTTGTATATTATTATATATTATATAATAATTATATATTATATATTATATATTATATATATAATTAGCTACATATATATATACACAATAGAGAAATGACATAAACTAAACCGAAAACGCGCTAAAACTTTTGAATTAGCTAATTAAACAATTAATTTTTTATTTTAGCAGTTATGGAAAATAAGAATATTACAATAAATAATACCTCTACATTTCCATGGACTGCTTTACAACAAAATTTAAAGGACACAAACGTTATTAATGCAATAAATCAATTTCTAAATATGTATCATCCTGATGATGGTATAATTGCATATGAACGTGTATTAAAAGCTCTACTGATTTTATCTGAAAATTTGGATAGTAATATACAACAACAAATAATTTCTATAATACCATTACCAAAAGGTGTATCAAATGATACAATAAAAAATCTAATATATAAAATTACTGAACTAAGTAAAACATCTAATACCAAATCTTTATATCAAAAGTATGATTTTCATCAAATTACTTCTTAATATTTTTGATAAAATATAATAATAATTTCTTCTTTTTAAGAGTTACTGCAATTTCCAAAGAACCTAATATAGAAATATTAGACAAAAACTCAGAAATCCATTTAAATCAAAATATTTTGATTGACACATCTCAAAATTTTGAATTAAATGAAAAGTTTATGTCTTCAGTACCTGAAGTATTCAAAGGTTTTCCTCCTAATGAAATTTCAACAATTCATAATCATATGAATTATATGTATGATACATTAAATTATAATATTCCATATATAAAATCTCATATTACTAGTAAACAAAATCTTTCATCAAATATTAATGAACAAGAAGAATCATTAAAACTTCAATCAAAATTAAAATGGAGTTATACTCCTCATCTTCTATATGAAAGTAATCTTTATCAAAATTCTACATCTGAGTATCAAGAAATTTTTAAATCAATGGATGATAAATATTTTCAATTGTCTATTGATCAGTTTAATAATTGGAATCAATGTAATGTAACTAATGTGTCTCATGCATTACATCAGGTTTATGACAATTACTTTACTATAGTAAATTACACATACGCGCGCGCGCGCACACACACACACACACACACATTATATTTATATCTCATATTATAATATTGTATTTAGAAATATTGTTAATTTTGTTATCCAAAAATAAAAACTAAAAAAAATCATATTACAGGATACTATATGTTTAAAAAAATTATATAAAAATAACATAGTTTCAAATAAACAGAATAAAAATAAGATCTCAAATTTAGAAATATATGATAATAGGTATATAGAAACAGGAACAAATTGCAAAATTTTACACAACGTAGAAAATGATACAAAAAACATAAAAAAATATAGTAAATTAAATAAGAATAAATTTTGTAATATGGAAATACAAAATCATTTTAAGCAAGAATTAAAAGATGAACAAGCAATTCAGAAAGATATATATAAAATGGATATTGTATATAGTGAAGAAAAAATTAAAGATACAATAATAAATATACAGGTAAAGAAAATTCATATTTGTAATAATTATTTTAATAGTTCGTAACAATTTCTATAAATAACAATATTACAGACATTAAAAGAAGATAATTTTTTAATGGATAACTTTAGAGCACACAAAAAGCTTAAAACAAGCTTGCAGAATTTTTTAAAACGTGTAGAACAGGAAACTTCGATCGGTAAAATTATTTTTATATTTATTAATTATTAACATACTTCAATTCAATGTATACAAATATTATAAACATTTTTTACATATACAGAATTTCCAATATTGCCTCAGACCAAACCTTTGTATGTTATTCCTTCTATATCCAATTTTTGCAAGTTTTTAAATCAAGAAAACCTGGAAAACAATAATCAATTAGATATTTTGAGCAATAACATAAATAGTTATAAAAGTATAAATGTACTAGAGGATACAAAAAAAAATATTAAAAAAAAATCCTCAGAATCATTTCATATTTATCCAAAATCAGATCAATTAAATCTGCTTCATAAAAGTTTAAATAATATAGTTAATGAAACAAAAACAATAGAATGTGAAAAAAAGAACTACATAGAAAATTTACTATACAAGTACCATTAAAGTTGCTCTGTAAATTTAATATTTTTTATGATCAGCAAATTTACTTAATAAAATTATTTATGTACAGATCTGCACTGAAGCAAACAAAACAAAAAAGTTTAAACACTTTACAACAAACTGCATCTATTACAGAGCTGGTTACATTTAAAAAACAGTACTATGATACATTATTAAATATTCAGAAAGCCAAGAGTTTGTTATAATTGTTACAATTTTTTTAATGCATTTATAAGCATATGAAATTATATGAATATATATATATATNATATTTTATATATATATATATATATATATATATATATATATATACATATCTATTTTTTAGTGGCAGTGGCAAATTCTTTGGCAATATCATCTGTAGAAAATTTTACCAAATATGATCCATATTATTCCAACCATTCATATCAACAAGAATTATTGCAACATGAACCATTAATTATAAATCCACAATTTGCAGTACATACTATGGCACAGTCTGAATTATCAAATATATATAATACTTCATGTGCATGGATGAGGTTTAACAATTGGAAGCATCTTACTATGAAACAGTTAAGACATCCACAACAAGTGAGACATAATTAAACATTAAATATTTAATTATTTAAACATATAAATATTTATGATTATTTAGTTATTTTCAATTTATCTTCTTTTAGTTTCCATTTCAAATTTCAAGAAACAAAAAGTAAGTTTCTTAATCATATATTCACTATTATAATGTATTTTATTTTTTGTTCTTCCTTATATAATTCTTTGTACTAGATGCTATATTTTATCATTTTTTCATTCCTATGCTAAAAGGAATTCTATACTACATTATGTAAAAACAATGGATATTCAATGTTTTGCACAAGATAAAAACAAACAAATGAAGCAAAATATACAACGTAAAAAGTTAGAAGACATAGTTGGAAAATTAAAAGAAATAGAAAGCAGCAACATGAACAATTAAAAAAATTATTACTGGTCCCTATGAAGTTTTTAATTTTTAAAAATACGTTAATCTCTATAAATAAAGTATTATACTTTGTTGCACTATGCATATTTATGCATATTTATCTAGATAAATAATTATAAATAAAAAACAGAACAATATATGCAAAAAGATTTCAAAATTATATCTATTACAGAAAATTTTTTAAATAATATAAATAATATAATAAAATATTGATAGAGATTATTGAATCAAAATACATTTAAAATAAAGTTTTCTCATTCTTTCATTTATCTTGCACCAGTCTCAATAATTAATAAAATATTAATATTTTTATATGTGTACATGTATTTGTACATATTCAAATATGATTATACATGTATACATATTCTATTTTTATGTATACATATTCTGATTTTTTTGGCACTGGCAAAAAATAATAATTTAGAGTTTTAGATTAATCGCGAATATTTTTAATAATCTCATTTGTTATGTAACAATTTCCTTTGTTTAATTGAAGAATTTTATATCTTGTTAACGCCAATCAATTCTTAATAATATAGTAACTAATAAATATTAACATATTTCATTTTAATTAACATAGAACAATATTTTTGCTAATTACTAACATTTTGTAGTATGTTTTATAATTAACATATAATATATTTATGAATTTTGCATAATCTATACTGTACAATGATTATTATTTCTAAATGTACAAAATAATTTTTAAAAGAATAAATCATAATAATAACTTTAAAATTTTATATAGATCATTAAATGTTATTGTCCAGAATAATCATATAAAATATGAGAAATTATCAAAGGGTTAATATGTAATATAACTCTTGATAATTTCATCAACCACATATATTAACTCACAATAATCTTTTTTCATTTCAAAAAATGTTCAATATGTTTATTTTCATAATGAGTTTATAATAAAAATATTATTATATACTCATATTTATTATTAGCAATATTGACAGCATCATTTTAAAATACAGAAACGAATCTTCATATATATTTCAATATATAGTTGCAATATATATTAATTGCAAAACATCCAAATTTACAATAATTAATTTTTTGGTTCTAATGATTCTCACATTTTACTTTTGATATTATCAAACAAATTAAAAGTTAGGCCAAAAAATTCTTGTGTCATGTAATTCATGTATCTCTTTTGGATTGTCTTTATTTGTTATATTCATTAAGAATAAGATAAATGTGCGTAAGCAAATTTTATTATTAAATTATTTTGTTCCAAATATTCTTTATCTTATTTAAATGTAATGCAATTGAATAAATTTATTATAGATAATGTAAATTTTTGATTCCCTGCACTAAATTAAGTCCTTCAGATAATAAAAATTTAAAATAAAATTAGAAGAATTTAAAATAAAATATGCTTTTATAAACAAATATTTTATAAACAAATAGCATCTCAAATTAAAAATATTTTATTAGAACTATATAATTTGAAAAAGAGAGTAATATGAATTAATAATATATTTTAAAAATAATAAAATTTTAACAAACGAAAAAAAGAGAATAATATATATTAATAATTTATTTTGAAAATAATAAAATTTTAACAAACAAAAATATTATATAATTTTAACTTAAATAAATATAATTAAATTATATACATAAAAAGGAAAATTATAATTACATAATTCTTTACATTCTTTTATATTTAATGATGAAAATAATATTAATGCTAAATCGTATAATTATCATGCTATTTTTCAATACAAATATGTTTTTGTATTTTAAATTTCTAATTAAGTTAAAAAGTATTCATAAAAAAAAAAATTATAATATAAGAAATAAAACTTTGTGGTAATATGATTAGAAGGATAAATAGTAGAAAAAATGTAGAATAGTAGAATAAAATTTATATGAATTTTAATAATTAATTCTATAATTAATGAAAGAATTATTCTTCCATTAATGAAATATTATTTATAAAAAGTAAAGGAAAAGCATATTATCAGAAAAGAAATTAACAATCTTGTTAATTATAATGATAAAACAGATTTGCACTTCATTTAAATAGTAATATTTAGTTACTTTTTTATTTTCTAGAATGAATTGTAATCATTTCAAACCTAATTTTAATTTTCATTATTTGTGCTATGATCTGAAGCGTTTCAGTTAAAGTTTATACAGAAATATATTAAACAGTGTTGTAGATTCACATACTAAATATAAGTTTAACAATTCATTTATTATGAGGTATTGCAAATTGTAGCGAGGTAAAGCCTCTGATACTAAGTTATTGAAAAGTAACAAAGTTATTTGACATACATGACACTCAAAGAGCGTTATTTTTCTTCTGGCAGTGTCCGTATATTTTTTTTAATCATTTTGCTTAAACTTTAAGCTAAATATCTTGCACCATATAACATTTCCACTCAATATATTTATCATGAAATCTATTCATATTTTTTTTAAATATTTTATCAGTACACTAGTAATGTACCATTTATAAAAAAAATTACATTTATTTCTTCGTTGTGTTTAAGAAAATCAAATTAAAAATTACAACATCATCAATATTTTAACACAACGAAGCTACTATAATATATATTATTCCTTTTTTTCTTTATGATTCTATATGAACACGCATTTTTTTCCTTATACTAAATAATTAATTAGACAACTACGCGTTATACACGTCAACATATAATTATGCCTGATTCAGATGTATATTCTAATATTGTATCAAAAGACAAAATAGTTGTCACTTACGATTCTAGTTGAAATTATTTTCTCATGTTTATATGATTATAAGTCTTAATCAATCGAAACAGAACAGAGGTCCCAATATGATCGGTTCTATATATCGCTTGTTATATAATAAAAAGAGATTCCAAGGACCAATTGGTCAAGAAACGCAATTTTTTGATAATTTTCAGATAAATTGTACCTCTAACACGATATGTATATACTAAAAATTACTTTGCTCTTTAATTTGATGAATACAGTTGATACAAGATTGTACAAGAGTACTGGACTAGAAATGGTTTGAAATTTTCATTAAAATAAATAAGTAATATAACACCATTGCTGCTCATATTTTCTGCCTGCAAATAGTGTATCTTTTATAAAAATAGAAATGGACCTTTTTGAACTACCAGACTGCATATTATATAAAATTCAATTGTTTATGTACAAAATATTAGTAAATTAAATTTTGAAAAATAATTTTTTTTATCATAGTCAAAATTTATGAAACACATTTCTATGCCCATCTCTGTATAACAATAATATTATTTTTAATAATTAATAATAAATAATAAATAAATTTAAATATGTTCCATGCATATTAATTCATTTTATAATAAAAATTTGTTTAAAAAACAATTTATAGTAATATCATAAATTTATAGTAAATTAAAGTATAAAATTAAGATATTAATCTAATTAGTAACTTTTTATCAGCATTTACAGATTACTAAGTATGTATGAAAATAGAATAAATAATCATTAAAATTTAATAAAATAATAAACAAATATTTTAATCTTTACTAATGTAACTTATAAATAATCTTGTAACTAATAAATTAGATTTATTATTTGGTACTGAAAGTTTATTGAAATAAAACATTATTTGTATATCAAAATTGGGCAGTCTGGTTGCAAAATGTCAAAACTTGAAAATTAAAAAGAAACTATCTTTTTGGCAGCATAATATACAAGGCAATGATAGTTTTATATAAGATTCATAAATGTTTAGACATAAGATATTACCTAATAATCTTAATTATAATAAAGCTTTGACATTAAATATGAAATGCAATTATATATATTTGCATTTGCATCAATTTAGTTTCAAACTTATATTTCATTTTATGCACAGAAAAAAAAAATATAAATATAAAAGATAACAGAGATGTCATGATTACTGTGCACTACTTTAACATTAAAGTGACATATACAGTAATTTTAACATATTCAATTCAAATAAATTCATTTAAAAATAACATAAATTGATAAAATATTATTTCTGTTTTTTCCTTAATACAAATAGTGAAAGAAGTATGATATTACGAAATGATGTTTCAAGGGAAACTTCTAGTATGTAACTGTTCCCAAAAATCATTCACTGCAATGAGTCCAATATTTATTAAAACATGTGTACGGATTTTTAAATTCAATCAGGCAAAGCTGTAAGGATCAATAGTTTTGCTAGAACAAGGTTGGACGTCGTCAGGTGGTGGATGCCATTGTCCTGTCCACATGGCAGTACGATCCATAGCTACATCTATTGCTTTTTCCATACTGTTACTAGATGTACATTCCATTTCCCAGTGAAAACCATTTTGAGTCACTTGCATAGAACTAGATCCATCCATTTCACAATAGTCTTGTGCTTTATTATTCACTGGCATTTGTAAAGTTTTATTTCTAACATGTGTAGAACCATTACTCCTATGTTCACCAGGCCAAGGTCGAGATTGCTCTACCGATTGCAGAGGCAATTTTCGCGGCACCCGTCTAGATTTATTATCTTCCAAAATATGACCACTATTGATTTTGGTATTTATTAAATTTCCATCAGTTGTTGAATTACTATCACCATCTCTTCTTCGTCTTCTTCTTCTCCTTTCAATATCAATATCACTTCTTTGAATATCTTCGTTATTTTCTTGAGTATTTAAAAAATGTTCCCTTGCAGAAGCCCAATGATCTTTTCGATTGACATCTTGCTTGTATCTTGTATGATTATCATTACCATGATGACCATTATTTGTGTTTGTATTATTATCTATATTTTGTTTTTTTGTGTGTTGATTTTTTATAATCCATGAAGCAGGTCTTTTAGGGCTACGCTCTTTTAGAGTGATCTAAAAAAATAACAATTATCAACAACAATTTAAATATTTTTATAGATTGTTACATAAATAACAAATAAAATTATTTACTCCTGAAGAGGAAGAATTATCAACAGGTTTATAAAGTTGTGTTGGTGTGTGATTACGATTATCTGAACTCCTACAACTTGATTCACTGCGTCCATGTATCCATGAAAGTAAGAAGGCTAAAATAGCACATGACAATCCAAGTGCTGCCGCAGCAGACAACTGAGAACGAGTACGTTTTGGTACCCAGCCACCACTATGATATTCCCATATAGAACATGCTAATAATGCACTACTTAAGGCATAAGATAAGCCTATACCAGTGAACATCCAAGCATTCTATAAGAGATGGATTCTATCAGATATATTAGTATTAGAATATATATATATATATATATAAAATTTTTTCCTTTATAAATATATATTTAACATTTTAAATTTTATTCATAATATTAATATTAAAAATAATATATTAAAAATAATATTAAAAATAACATATTAATAAACTGATTACTTACCAATTTTGCCCAATTGAAAGGAAAAACATAGATAACATGCGAAATATCAAGGAAGAGGAGTAATGCAGTGATCAAAAAACAGAAAACTGCTACAAAGATCATGAAACGCAGCCGCCCGACTAAAGGCAACATAAATAAGCTGACCTTGGCAGTGCCAGAACTGCATAATGTTGCCAAACACGCTGCAGATGATATCTATTTAAATGGTTTAATATAGCTTATTGTTTCAGAAATATTTAGAAATTGATAAATAAAAAATATTTAAAATATAATGCTTACAAGTAATAAGAGTCTAATAACACCAATAGCTGTTTTAAGATGCCCCTGTATATCACAATAAAATACTAAATGACTTGCTCTTGGCCAAGCCAAAGCATTTGAGGAAGAGCCATGGTGATCACCATAGCCATAGTGACCATGATAATTAGCATGTGAGTCCCAAGAATGGACTGTTGAATGAACCCCTGGTGAATCCAGTTCCAAAGGTTGGGAGCTAATTTGCCCCCCTGTCCTACTACCTGCTGTTAATATCAAATAATTTATATCTATATTTTGATTTTTTTAAAATAATAAAAATAATATTTTTTTGTTATTAAATTTTACTAGAAATAATTTATATTTTTAAAAGTATTGTCATACCAATATCAAAATCTTGAATATCTTCAGGTCTGGAATATGCAGAGGCTGGTAATTCCAGGTCACGAATTTCTTCTAAAAGAAGTACTTCTATCTCGTCGGCTGCATATAAGTCCGAAACCGAGTGAAGATGATGCCGAGTCTCGCTCATTACTTAGGCACGCTCGATTGTTTACTCCTTCCTGCCTGCCAACGATCTTTTCTATTTGATCCACTATGAACCACCATTCGTTACACATTGAATTTAGCAACTGTTTTATTTGTTTGCCAGCCATTGTTTACACATACTGTGTAACCAGTACACCATCTCTTTTCTGCAGGTAATACCATCCTTTAGCCATTAGGCCTCACCTATTAATTAATAATTATAACCAATTAATTAATAATAACAATATAATTAATAATAATTATAATTAATAATAAGAATATTAAATATTAATAATAAATATTTACCTTTGAATAATTTAATAACCATGTAAGAGATTAAATTTTAAAATAAAAAAAAATAAAAAATTAAATAAAAATAATTTATTTTATAATAATATAATATAATAATAACAAAATAATAAATATAAAATAAATCTATTTCAATAAATAAGAATTATTTTGATATAATATTAATAGTATATATTACAATTTAAAAGTATAAAAAATATAAACAAATAAATATATATATAAATAAATATATAAATAACAAAAATTATATTATTATATGATATAATATAATAATATAATATAATATAATAATATATAATAATATAATAATATAATAATATAATAATGTAATATAATAATATAACAATGTTTTTAAACATTCAAATAATAGGTTGGAATTTCATATAGTTTTATTATTAATACACAAATAAATGAAAATTATTATGCATAAATAAAAAACAAAATTAATATATCTCATATATGTACAGATTATAAATAAAATATATTTTAATCATATAAATCATTATTTCTTCAATTCAAGAAATCTTGAATATAGATGCTAGAGATATATAAGAAAAAATTTTAAATGAGTCTCATTATATTCGATACAGTTGACATTAAATATTTAAAATTTGTACGAAAATAAATAATTAAATTGTTCATACTTAAATATTTTTATAGGAGAATATTTGTTAATTCTAAATCCACATGTGGTTGCATGTGACATCTTATCAGAATGTATAAAGTACAATAATTATTGAGATTACAAATTTCACAAAAAAAAATCGACACATACCTCAAATTTGTTTTTGATGAACTGACACTTGGATCACATTTTTTCGAAATTTTTCATAATAAAGTCAGTAACATTAGAAGAATAATCGCCATTGCCTTTTTGCTGTTTTTGCTTATAATCTATGCTCACTACGCATACAAATAACAAATGGAATAATTTAACCAGTTTTAACATTTATTAACTAATAAAAAATAAAATAAATATATAAATCATTTTTTTATTGTTTCTTTCTTTATTAAAATAATTTTAATAATGCATATTTTCATTGTATAAAAAAAATAATGTAAATTATGATTATATTTTTAAAATTTAATTTATTTGAAATATTATATAAAAATTATTATTTTTATTTTTTTATATGTTAAAATACATATAACAAAAATACATATTACGAAAATATTAATCGATTATAATAAATTATAAAATAATTTTAATTTCATTTTAATATCATGAAATCAATATATATTAAAAAAATTTTCCTTATATTAAATTATATAAATTATATATAATAAAATTATAATGATTTAATTAAAAAAATTTAATTAAAATTTCTAAATTTTTATTATTTATATTTACAATTGCATATTTTAAAAAAATTTTGCTTTTAAATCGATATTATTAAATAATTATTTTTTTAATAAAATTAATAACTTTTTTCCTTATTATAAATTTGTAGTACAATAAATCAAGATAATTTTCAGCAATATTTTTTAAAAAGTCATATTATCTTTAAAATATTATTAGTGCGTCTTTCATTGCTTTTTTTCATGTCGCATCTATTAAAATCTCACTTTAAACAATTCTTAGTAGGTGAATAATTATAATAACAGTAAACTGTTGTATGTATATCAGTTTTTAATCTGTCAAATTGACAGATAAAGAATGTACCAATCTTTTTATCTATATTAAAGTACAAACGCCTATTTTAATATATTTAAAACATTCATCATGTGTGGTAAAGAAGTATGATCCTTATAAATCATTTATTTTAAATCATACTTAGAAATTATTTGTCTTTTAGTTGTAAACGTTAAATATTCGCATTTTTATTAAATATCTTCCATTATGAATGCATAGTAAGTGTCTTAATATTAATTTTTATAAAAATATTATTTGAATAATTTTAGTTGGATACATTATCGTAAAATTCATTTGCATAATAAAAAAATGTCTATCACTTATAATTGATGAAATGCTTATACATTTAAGATTATATCTGTAATAATAATTTAATTGTACAATTTCTTGCAATTAATTTTATTTAATATAACTTTTAGTAACAAAAACACACACGGACCAAGTATATCGGGAAACGCATTCGATCGTTGGGTACAAAGGACTAATATGCATGACGATTCCACTATTACAAAAATGCAACATCAGTTTTGGGTTACAAAACAAGCTTTATCACGGAAATTAGGAAAAAAGGAAGATGAATGTATAGTAGCATCAGATGCAGAATTAGATGCCAAGTTAGAATTGTTTCGTAGTATTCAAGAATCTTGTTCTTATTTGCAAAGAATTATTGATAAATATCAAGAAAGATTATGTAGTAAGTAAATATGAATTTAAGATTTTTTTTTTTATATTATATTTATAATCATTATCTTTAATTTTATAGATCTTGCACAAGAAGAAAATGCAATGGGACGATTTCTTAAAGATGCTGGTAAACAAGATAAAACTAGAGCTGGCAAGATGATGACAGCAGTTGGGAAATCATTATCATATTCTGGTCAACAAAGACTTGCATTACGAGCTCCATTGGGACGATTATATCAAGAAGTAGAAACATTTAGACAAAGAGCTATTGAAGATACATTGCAAAAGGTTCAAGCAATGGAAAAGGCTCGTACTGAATACAGAGCAGCTCTATCATGGATGAAAAATGTTTCTCAAGAATTAGATCCTGATACATCAAAACAGTTAGAAAGATTCCGTAAAGTTCAAACATGTGTTAGACAGTATGTATTACTAACTATACTATATTAATTATTGCTAATATATTTCTAAATTTTATATATATATATATATATATATATATATATTTAAATATTTTTAAGCATACAATTCTTTGTTGATGTAGAGGTAAAATAGCCTTTGATAACTTGGCTTTAGATTGTCTTCAAAAAGTTGATTTATTGGCTGCAGCAAGATGTAATATGTTTAGCCATGCTTTAGTTTTATATCAAAGTACGCTTTTAAATTTTACTGAAAAATCTGCACAAGCATATTCCACAATAGCAAATAGTTTTAAAGGCTATCAACGATATGATTTTATGGTTGTAAAAGAACTTACCGAACCTTCAACTAAATTAGCTCAAGAAACTGGAGGTGATGATGATCTTGATGAAAAAGACAAGTAAATTATAAATTTTTAAAAAATTTTTAAGAAATATTAGTAATAAGAATTTACTATGCTAATAAAATATTTTTTATATTATCATTTTAGATTATCATTTTTTGACATGGATTATCATGATAATGTTGAAGAAGCTGAAGAAATAAAACCAATCAAACAGAATATAGTTGAAAACGATAAACAAGATGAAAAATTATTGGATATTGAGTATGAAACAAAAGATATGTTGGGATTAGAAGAATTAGATTTAAATTCTAGTTCTTCAAATAATAGAATCATGCAATCAATTTCTGAAGTAGAACAGAAAGAAAATCTCGAACAACTTTTTGAAAATTTAATCTTAGATAATAATGTATCTCATACTGACATTATACAAGACATTATACAAGAAGAAACTCAATCTAAATTTAATAAAAAATTTGATGAACAAAATCTAACAATGGATATATTTGATAAATCTGATACAAATTTTAATCTAGCTGATTTCTCTTCCTTAGAAGAACAAAATTCAAGAGAACAATCTTTACAATCCCTTACCTCGGAAAATATGGTACTTTTAAATGATATTCTTATTGATAAACAAAATACTGATAGCGAATGGGAAGCGATATCGAATGATACATTTTTACCACCAAATATATTAAAACAAAGTTTAGGTGATGCAACTCTTGGTATTGGACAAAAAAATATACTTACTACTACTAATATGGATGACAAAGTATGTAAACATTATTAATATTATTAAATATTGTATTAAATACAATAATAGTAAACTAAATTAAATAAAATAAACTAAAATTATTAGAATTGAATAGTATTGAAGAATATTTATATTGTATAAAAAATTATTAAAAATGATTTGAATAATAAATTTATCCTATTTTTTCTTAGAAAAAGAATAAGACTGGCAAACTAAAGGGTAATTCCTGGTTGGATTTATTTGCTGAATTGGATCCTTTGGCTAACAATCCGATGGAAAATCTTTCTAGTGATAGTAATGCATCTGCTTAATATTCTGAATTTATTAAGCTTAAAATTATATTCATGATATAATATAATCATTATAATTTACGACAACAATCAGAAAACACATATTTATTTTCTTTAAATAGAATAATGCTGTAAGCATTATTTAGTTCTTACATATATACTAATATTAAATATTTGCTGTTTGAATTTTAATTTTAACATTCCAGATTTGTTAGATCTAATGAAAATAACAAAATAATGATAAGAATCAAAAAATAGTTAAATTTCATATTTTAAGTTCCATACCAAAGATGTAAGATTAATAATAGTTTGTAAAATTTAGTCATAATATATTTTTTTTTCATATATATTAAAAATATTTCTTTTTACGATAATAAATAATTATCAATTTTCCTATTCACATTTATAACAAAATATGTTCAGTACATTTAATATTGTTACATCACATGAGTAATTTAATGATGTTTCATAATATGAAACATCATAAACAATTTTTTTGATATTATCACTATATTGAACAATTGATGTTTAAGAAATGTATAATGCAATTATTACATCATTTTTTTTTTAATATACTGAAATATTGCAAATTGCTTCTTTTTTTTAAATAAAATAAATACAATATAAACAGATTACATTGTCACATTGTCGTTGATATTGTTTTTGTATCTTTTCTATATAAATATAAAATGCTTACGCATTAATAAAATACAAAAATCACATTGTTAACACCAAAATATAATTATATTTCATGTATAAAAGAATTCTGAATCAAAACCTAATTTTTATCAATGAGGTGTTTGAAATTTAGGCATCATAGAATTGTGCCATAGCAGTTCTAACTCTGAAACAAAACATTAGAAATTATAAATATTCGAAAAAAATATTTTTATATTAATTATATTAATAACAATAATATATTATATAAAATTTGCAAAAATATTTAGCAATAATTAAAATTTTTTAAAGTACAAATACAAAAAAAAATATTTTATAATTTTAAAAATTTGTTACTCATACTTATCAAATAATTGAAGATCCTTGCTATGACGTAATTGTTGTAGAATACGATAAAAACCAAGCTCTTTTAAACGTGCTTGTCGTTGTGCAGCACCAGGTTCTTCTCTCCAGACTAAATTGCATACACAAAAAACTGCAGCAACTTGTAATTTTACATTACTGTGCATCTAAATTAATATCATAAACATTATAAATTTCTAATAAATATCAATAATATGTTATTGAAATATAATTAATGAATTATACTATTAATTAATATATATAAAAATCATAAAATATCAAAGATATGTGTTGTATTATTTTAACAAAATAAAATAAAAAAAAAAGATAAGTAAAAAAAAAAGAGATCTAAAAATATATTAAGATAAAATAAAATTTAAAAACAAAAATAAAAGTAAAATATTTTTTTACAAACCATATAATCCATAAGTTTTTTAAGCACATCTTCATTAGCCATTATATGATCTTTTGCTCGATTTCCATCAGCTACATTTGCTAAAATACAAAGAGCTTGTTCTTTTACATCTGCTGGATGCCTTGGATCTTCTAAAACTAATATAACAGCTTGCATAACATGAGCAGCATGTTCTCCCATTATACGATCTATATGTGCTTTTGTAGAGAGCAAATTTCGTAATAAACCTAATGTTTTCATTAAAACTGGTATATCTTGATCTGCCAAAAGACAAAAAATTTGATCAGTTCCCAAACATTGTAGAATCTGCAATTTTACTTGCTGTTCAGCTTGAAAAGCCACATTCATCAAAGCCCAAATTCCATTTAATCTCAATGCTGGAGTACATCGTTTTGTAAGTGAACATAATAATTCTATCCCTCCAGATTCAAGAATTGGTTCTTTGCTTGGACTAAATTCCAATAATAAGTTACATAATGTACTTGAAGCAACAGTTAATAAATCAACTTCACTTTCGCCTCTACCTACATAATATAATTATATTAATTAATAATAATGAATGATATTAATATAATTTAATTAAAAAATTTTTTTAATTCATATCTCATATGACAAGAAAATATAGAAATATAAAAAATTTTTAATAATCATATGCAATTCATATGCATTCATAAATGAATTTTGTAATATAGTTCAAAGAATAAAAGAATAATTCATAAAATCATTTACAAAATTTGTAAAAATACTTTGAAAGACAAAATATTTTCACAAATTTGTATAAATTCTATTATTTCAATAATAATTCATTAATTATAAAAATATTATATTTTACCTTCTAATCCCTTGTCTGCTCCATGTAATAATTGCATAAGTGGCCTCCAAACAACATGATCTTGAAAAGTTGTTCGAAGTTGCTGAACACTTCTAGAAAGAGAATGAAGACATCTAACTGCTGCTAGACGTACATGAGAACCTCCTGGATCTTGAAGACCAGCCACTACTTGTTCCATAAGACTTTCTGTTTCAATAATACGTTTTCTAATATCTTCATCATTAGCACCAAGAGATGCAAATGCTCTGAATGCAGCTTGTCGCATATCTTGTGTTAATGTTGCATCTTGTACCTAAGAAAAATATTAAAATAATATATTAACAAATATATAAAGTAAATATATATGTTATAAATATATATAAATCTATATAAATATATTTACATGTGGATGAGGTCGTAATAACTCTGCAAGTGTAGGAATTAAATGATTACTAATGGAAGCTAAACGTTGTAATTCAGTATTAACTTCTGTAAGAAAAGCCAAAGTCTCAGCTGCAGCTACTCTTTCACGAGGAGGATGATCTCGATGACAAAGTCGCACCAAACAAGGTAAAGCACGATATATAATTCTTGGATCTTTGTATAGTAAAACTCCAGTTCTGTGCATATATGTAACACATCTTGCAGCTTCAAGTTGAATTAATGAGCTTTTCTCACGCCCCATTAATTGTCCTAATGCTACAGGTACAAGTCTACCCTGAGGAGTATTACTGGTAGTTGCTGACGCAACCATAACACAAACTCTATAATTCTTATAACACATATTTGCCAAACATGCTAGAGCTGATAATTGGACATCAGGTAATGGAGAATCCAATTGCATTGCTAATGTTTCTACTGCACCTCCTTTGGCTAAAGCACTCTGCTCTTCTGTTGTCTAATAAAAATTATGTAAATTAATATCATATATAAAAAAATACATTTGATTTATCATTTTTGTACCTTGCATGCTGTTGTTAAGATTGTTGCTACACAAATTTGACAGGTAACAGATTGATTTGCTAATGATACCAATCTTGGTACTAATGCAGGATCCTGATATATTGAATGAACTGGTGCTGCTGGATGTTGAAACACTGTTCTCAAACATCGCAAACATGCTTCATTTAATAAATCTGTTACTTTTGGCTTTCCTTCTAATAATGTTTCTATGATAGGTGTAGATAATATAACTTGAAAAAGTAATGGTACTACACCAAGATCTATAAGAGCTAATACATGCTGATCTGTTCCTTTAGCTAGAGAGCCTAAAGTTACAGCAGCCTCAAGTCTTATATTATCTCCAATTCTATCTGATGAATCTCCAAGAAGTTGTAATAAACGTGGTACTACACCTTGAGCTATTACAGATCCTTTTTGTCTATTACTTCCAATTACAGAATTTTTTAAACATCTAGAAATAATAAAAAGAGATTTATTAACATAAAGTTAAACTAACTAAAAATTAAGAAATTAACTTAAATTAAAGAAAAATAACAAAATTAAGATTATTTTTATAATATTACCTTTTTAATGTTTTTTTACACCATATAGTGATTTTTAATAAATAATAACCTTTAGTAAACAAGTTTAGAGGTTAAGTACGATTTGTACTCACATAATAGCTTCTAAGCACTTTTGAGGATCCAGCGAGTATAGTTCATCGATGTAACTTCTCGAACTCTCAACATCCTATGATATAATAAATTAGTCATTTAATTTTCGAAATTTTTTATTGTTATATGAAAATAAAATTTTTAAAAGCAGAAGAAAACCGGTAAGATATTTCACGTTTTCAACATTATCTACTTACCATGAATGGTTGCATCACCGAGACCATACTTCTTCTATCTCGGTTTTACATACAGATATTCTAAATATTCACTCAAAATAATTCTATAATATATATTTTACTATCACAAGAAATTATTAATTCAACAATCCACTTTGTTTGTTATGTGAGCACTTGTTATTCTATTTGATAAAATTTGCGCTCTGAAAAATTTTCACTAGAATAGTGTTACCACTACTATATAGTTAATTATTGTTATAATATTTAATATGCTTCAATTTTCTAAACTCTTTTATGCAAAAAAAAATTTAATATAATTTTATGAATTATATATTATTTTTAATGAAGTGAATGATTTAAACTTTAAGGCATTAAAATTTTTAAATATTTTTTATGAATTTTTTTTTTAATTTTTATATATAGAATTCCAATAACAACTTTATCCTTCAGAATTCAAATTGATTTACATGCATATGTTTAAAAATTATTATATATACAAATTTTTGTGAGTTAAATAACATCACCCATTGTCTAATTAGACAATAAAAGCATTAGCGTGTAAAGTATATAATAGCGTCAAAGTATATAAATAAAATCACAAATGAGATAAGAGACTGGAAATAAAATAAATCTTTTTTTTTTTAAAAAAATCATTTTAACTTAATAAAACTTAACATAAAACTTCATGCTATTTAAAAAAAATCGATCACAAAATAAAAAAATAAAGATTTTATAATATCCTCTACTATTAAAATAATTATATCTCTAAAAATAATAAAATTAATAAATATAAAAAAATCCATCAAATTCATTTAATTTGTGATCTTAGAAAAAAATTCTCATAAGTTTAATATTCGATCATGTGCTATTGTCTTATTTCATTCTGAATCGATAATTGTATGTGAAACGTGAATAGAAGAATATTTAGAATCAGATGATATAAAAATACATTAAATGATATCTATCTTGTATCTCATCTATGACTCAATTAATAGAAACTATTATATTTCAAATTTTATTTTAAAGTTTGCAATGTAAAGATTTATTATAAAACATTTTAATAATAATAATTTTTTGAGAAAAATTTTTTACATTTTTATTAACTATTTAATTAAATTGATTTATATTTATTTACTAAATACTTTAAAGCTTTAAATTTTTAGAATTTAATATTATACTTTGATTTAAAAATAATAGAAGGAAAAGTTAATTGGAAAAAGTAATGATATTGAATTTTATGTGGCAATATATATTATCAACGAAAATCATGATATTTAATATCACGTGAAAGCGTATCTTAATATATGTGTCTCAATAAATTGCGTTATATTCTTCTAGACTTCTTGTTTTCTTTCTTAATAATTCTTTAATATGATGTCAAATTTTGAAAATCTAAAATCTTAGAAATCGTACTTATATATTGTTGCATTTTATAAAATTTGAGATTTCCCCTTACTTTCAAGAATATACTTCAATTATTACAAAGATATTTTTGTCAATTAAAAAATTTGATTAAATATGATCACGGAATCTTTGCATGAATATTTAGAAATCGTGGCAGGATATATATTTGATGATGACAAATTGGTAAATATTTTAAATACTTTTTAAATTTTTATTTCATAATTAATTTTCAATATTATTTTTTAAAATTATTTTAAAATGTTCGTAGGTAACATATAAATGGTTAAGTAAAATGTTGGAAGTTCATGTTAATATTGCAAAACAAATTTTATGGGAATTTTGGCAAAAATATAAAAAAGAAAAAGAATTTGTTTGTACTTTCTTATTAATGGGAATTCTATATGATAATGGAATGCATGTTGAAATTGTAAAAGAGAAAGACCTAATAACATCAAAAGAAAAATATAGTAAAATTATTTCTGAACATATTTATAGTCTTCAGAAAATACTTCCTGAGATACAGCTACTTGGAAATACTGAAAATGGAGATATTAAATTCAGTGCAATTAAATGTATTGAGAACAATGAACGTAATGATGAAGAGATGCATATTTTTCGTTGGGGTCCTATATCAAGTGAAATTCAATTTGCTCCTCAAGAAGAAGCACAATCGATATCTGAATCAAATGAAGAAAAAAAGATAATTAGTCCAGAAAAAAAAAAGCAAACTGTTATAAAAAAAAATGAAAGAAAAGGTTTTGATAACTTGTTTGGAAAAGTCATTAATAAACAGAAAAATTTATATACATCATCTATTGAAGAAATGAATATAGAATCTTCTGATATAAAAGAAACATCTAAAAATGTTCTTAAATCTACAAAAGAAATTATACAAAAAGATAAATTGAATAATTGTCTTCAATCAAATGAAAATCAAACAGAAGCTGTAGAATCTCCAAATAAGAAAAATAGTATAAATTCCATACAAAAAAAAATTACAGAAGAAAAAATTATTTTTAGAAATAATAAACAAAAAAATATACGTGGTAAAAAACGTAGTCAAAGTAAAGATTTAAATAATACTACAAAAAAGCAAAAATGTATTACAATTCATGGTGATTCTAATAATACAGAATCTTCTAATGATGAACAAGAATTAGAATTACCAATCTCACCTGAAAATCTTTCTTCTTCTATAAGCAAGGATTCTAAGTCTCCACCACAAATGAAATTTGAAAATGGAAAACGTAAAGTTTTAAAAATAGTAGATAAAACATTTGAAGAAGATGGTTTTCTTGTAACAAAAAAAGTACATGTTTATGAAAGTTGTTCTGAAGATGAATCAGAAATTTTAGCAAAAAAATCTATGATACCTGAATCACATTTAGAATTTAAAGGAAAAAAAAATACAAAACAAACAACCTTAATGAACTTTTTTAAAAAATCATAGTATACTTTATTATATTCATTGTATCTTATAATTTAAAATAAAGTATTAAATTAAAATTCAATATTTTATTATAATAAAACAACAAAATAAAACAAAATACATAAAAATTTCATATTTTATAAATAATTAATATAAAATTGTTTAAATAAAAACAATATTTTTTTTTATTTTGAAATTGTAGTTATCTTAATTCCAAGTCTAGATAAAATAGATATTTACTTACTATATGCAGTTATCAGATATGTTATCATAAATGTTGCTAAATGTAGACTACACCTTAATTATATACAATTGAAAATCAAAATTAATATAAATTTAATATAATGATTTATTTATATTTAATTGGATTCTATTTTTTGTGGATAATACAAAATTCTATATGTTCAATATGTTTAATATGTTCATGTTCAGGTAAATAAAATTATTTCATTTTATTAGAACATAAACTTTAGAAGATAATTATATAAAATTATTTTTTAATTTTATATAAATAAAGTTAAATTAAATAATTATAAATATAATTATTTTTTTCATTTAAATGTTAAATATTAATATAATATATTTTATATATTACAGTAAACAAAGAATTACAAATTAATTGTCATGGAAAATATTTGAAAAATAATGATATGCTTAATTTTGATTTATTAAATAATTATCAAGAATTAAATAAGCTTATTTTATCAAAAAATAATATAATTGATTTACCTAAAAATTTTTTGAAAAAATTAAAATATTTAAAAAACTTAGATTTATCTGAAAATAATATAGAAAAAATATATATAACAATGTTTATAGATTTAAATAATCTTGAAGATTTAAATCTTTCTAAGAATGTATTGAGAACTTTTGATAACTCCTTATTGGAAATACTTCCTACAATGATGTCGTTAAATTTGAGTTATAATTATATTAATTCAATAGAACACACAATGAACCAAACTATATTAAAAATTAATATGCTTGATCTTTCTCATAATAATATTTCTAGTTTACCAAAAAAATTCTCTGAATTGTTAATAAATTTACAATATTTAGATCTGTCATTTAATAGAATTCAATCTTTGCAAGATTGTAATCTAATACATCTAAATTCTTTAAAAGTACTTTATGTAAATAATAATTTTCTTGTTACTTTAAATATGCAAATATTACCGAAAACACTAGTTAAATTATATATTGGTTATAATCAAATTATGGAAATAAATAATTTAAGTCATATCGAAGTATTAAGTATAGAACATAATAAAATTTCTCAATTATATAACAATTTAATAGTAGATAGTTTACAATATATGAATATTAGTGGAAATATATTATCAAGTTTTCCAAATATTCTCTTTAAAAATTTGAAAATTTTGGATATATCTAATAATAAATTTACTTATATTCCTAAAGTAATATCTATTAAAAATTTTCCATTATTGCTCCAGCTTAAAGTTAATAAAAATCCTATTCAAAACTTAACAATTTTGTCTGATTTAAAATTAAATTCATTTGATGCAAGTGATATAAATAAATTGAAATCTATAGAGAAAGATACATTGGCAAATTTAAGATCATTATCAAAAAATTGTATTAATATTACTATATCCAATAACAAAATGTTGACTTTTATTCACGAAGATGCTTTAAAACATATGAATTTATGTTCAGTAAGTTTTAAAATTTTATTTTCGAATATTTTCAGAGGATCGATTTTAAAAATTAACTTTAGAATTAAAAAAAATTTAGCATAGAGACATATTCATTAAGATTTATTTATTGTAAGTCATATTATCGTTTTGTTATTCCTGCTTCACATGATTTTTTTACATAACTTCAATTATTTACAATTATAAATAAGATTAATAAATAGTAGATTAATAAATAATAAAATTAATTTTAATAAATAAGATTTAATTTATATTTTTATATATCAATTTTTATATAGTTTTTAAAATCGATCTTTCAAAATTATTTTATGAATATATTATTATTAAAACATAATTTAATAATAATAATAATAATAATAATATATATATATATATATATATAATTTTTTGTATTAGTTAGATTTAAGTAACAATCAATTTTCTTATGTGGCACGAAAACTAATTGTACATAATAATAGTCTTTCAACGTACAATATTAATTTACAAGGAAATCCGTTTAAATGTAATTGTACACTACAATGGATGTTAAATGATTTAATTCCAAAACTTTATATTGTTCAACCTCATCTTTTAGATGATTTGAGGTATATATCTTTTAATTATTAAATATCAATTTAATATTGAAAATACAAAAATGTAATATATTAATTATTTTATATATTTTATTATATCGTATAAGGTGTTCTTGGCCTACTCAAATATCGAATATGAGAATGGTACATTGGTATGGATGGAAAAATCAAGTTTTTTGTAATACATCAATTAACGAAAATCTTTCAATAAATGTTGCAAGTATAATAACCACTGAAATAATAAAACTTGATTCTAGTCCTGGTTTATTAGTTATTGTGGGAATAGCGACAACTGTATTAACAATTTTAATACTAACAGGCATCATATGGACACAAAGAATAGCCATAAAAAGAAGAAGAGTTAATAGAAAATTTTAAAATTTATCGTTTTTTAGTTTAATTTATTTTTTTCTTGTCCAATTTCTACACATTTTCTTTAATTTAAAAAATTTTTTCAACTCTTTCTAAAGTCTTAATATATTCACATTTTATAAGAGTTTCGTTTATGAAAATGATTTATGTAACAGTAAATAACATATTTTTTCTTAATTTAATAATGAATCATATCTTTAAATTATCTTAATTTATCTTTAAATTAATAACAATCTATTTAAGAATTATTATTTGTTGAAATATTAAATACTATTAATTAAAAATATTAATAAATGCATAAATAATAATAAAAAGTCAAATAGTATTAAATTCAATATTTAAAAAAAATTTGTAATTTTATATATCATTATATTTGTACTTATCATATAAGCTATTATATATGCAATTTTGTTTTTATTCAAATTTAATATCATTATTGAAAAAATATAAATAAATAAAATGTTATTTCTATACAATATATATATATATATATATCCCTTCCTTCCTCTGTGTATGTATGAGCGCGCATGATAGTAATACTCCTATATTTATTATAAATATCAAAATATTAAAATAAATATACATATATTCATAATTCATACATGTAAATTCGCATAATTATGTATAATATATTTCTAATACAAAAACAGTATTTTGAAAATAATTAAGATGAAAATAATTAATTATTTGAATGTTCTTTTTTTATATTTATTTGGCAAAATGCCTTGGAAGTATTGAAATATTTGGAAGGATTTAAGATTTTATTATTTAAGATTTAATTATTTGCAAATTTTAATTGCAGGACAGATACTTGATTAAATTTAAATCGTAATATTTTGATGATTTCAAACACTGTACATTTGTATTATTATCTTAGTATATACTTTAATAAAATATTTTAATGTAAAAGATTGATCCTCATCAATTATAAGCTAAATTATGTTTATAATTAAATTGATTAATCGTAATAAAAATTTATAATATATTTAAATATTATAATATATTTTTTTATTCTGCTAACCTAATATTGAAATCTTCAAAATATAATTATCGCTTTGGACGTAATAAGTGAACTTTGCAATTTGTAATTATATATCATCTATTTGCCAATGACTAGATGTCACTGGAATAGGAGGATTTTCTCTCAATTCATTTAAAAAATTACATATATTTTTATAATATCGCGGTTGACACCATGTTTCGTTGTGTGTACCTCCCGAAATCGAAAGTATTTTTTTACATGGACTTTTGCAATTTTTATAAAGATTTTGCATCATATATGGTGGCACTAACGTATCCGCCAGACCAGAAATAAATAGCGTAGGTATTGTTACTGATCGCACTTTGAGAATGGACAAATACTGTAATATATTGATTTAATTATATAACTTAATTATAATAATTATTATTAATTTAATTAAAATTTTTTTATATAAAATAATTAAATATTTAGAAAAAGTTTACCTTATTTTTATATAAAAAAAGAGGTAAATATTGTAAACATTTTAATCCAAAAAGTAATGCAGCCATATCAGGAATACTAGTAAAAGTATTTTCAAGAATAAGACACCAAATTCTTTGTGAATTTTCTGGTTCTGTAGCTAAATTAATAGCTACAGCTCCACCTATAATAATATTTAAACATGTTAAATATATGACATATTTTTTTCATTTCAAATATACTTACCTAATGATCTACCAAATACAATTATTTCATTTGTATTTATATCAGTTCTACTTGACAAATAATCAATTCCTGCACGAGCATCCATATATAAACCTTCTTCAGATGGTGAACCTTGTGATAAACCATAGCCTCTATATTCTAGCATTAAAATATTACATTGTATAGTATGATATAATCCAACTGCATTTTTTAATCTAAAATAAGTATAGAATCATTATTTTATTTTTATAAATAAAACTATGTAATACAATTAATTAAAATCACTTACCTATGTCCTACATTACCAGCATTGCCATGAAGAAATAATAAAGTAGGCACCTTTTTCACTCTATCTTCCGGTTGAGAAATAAAGAACATATGTAACATTGTACCATCTCCTGATCTAATATAAATACTTTGATAAGGTAAATTAAATATTGAAGGTGCAGGAACATATACCCGAGAATTAGCAGGTGACTCTGGACGATATACAAGTTGATCTTCTCTATGATATAATATACCTATAAATATGTATTTGATATTAATTTGATATTAGAGCAGAAACGTTACTGAAATTATTAAATTTACCTGTAGTTGCAAAGCAAAGTAGAAAGAAAGCAGAAAATCCACCATATAACCAATATAGAAGAAAACAGGCAAGTATATAAGTTCCAGAAAAAGCCCAACATTTCATAGCTATGCCTCCTAATAAACGGATGGGTTTACTGCGAGCAAGTCTCATATAAAATGACATGATTGTTATGTAGTATCTTCAAAAAATTAATTAATAATCAGCTAAAGCACTTCTATATTTGTTAAATATATAATATGGTACATCTTGATTTCATCATAATATTTCACTGAATTAAACATTCCAGTTATTACTGAAAATTTTATAACCTAAAATTTTTATAAAAATTATTTTATAAACATTATTCATTTCATAAAATTTTGGATTTGAATTGATAAATAAATGCATTTCGCTTTTTACATAAATTTATTATATTAGAATTTACATAGTATAAATGAAATAATTTCAATTTTTAAAGCATTAGAAAATATAAATTAGGAATTTAAATTGCCGCTATGTGTATTTAAATATAAATTCTATTCATAAAGTATTTAGATATCACTTATAAATTATAACTTTTTACAATAAAGAATACTATGATTTCATTATAAAAAATTAATTTATGAATAAAAAAAATCGCAATACGATTTTAATAAAGTTCAGTATCGCAAATCGCAAATTTATCACGTGTTATCGTGAATGTCCAATACTGTATTCTGATTACTGTTAATCGATGCTATATAACTAATACCACCTTGTATCTTTATATTCAACACGAGTTCCGTTGTTCGTATACAATTCTTCGTTTATTTAAAGTTACAAATTTATAAATTCTATTTAAAAATTGCTTACAAATAATGGAGAAAATATTAGTTGAACCCCGAGATGGATCTGTGGTGTCATGTTTATCTAACATTCTCCAAACGAGTGCTGAAGAAGCATTCGCAAGTAGTGATACATTCAAGATTGGATTATCAGGTGATATAATTCAAATAAAAATTGCTTACTTGATTTATTAATTTTTAAATATCAAAAAAATTATTAATTATATATAATTAAATATATATATTTTTTTATATAGACATTTATATAATATAACAAAAGCTGAAAATTATACATAAATAATAAAATAAATTTATAGGTTACATATACTATAAAAAATTATTATAGGTTAAGATATATTTTTTTCTTAATATAATTATTTAATTTGCATAATTACTATTTAAATTCTATATTTATTTTGTTTTTAATATTTATTTCGTAATTCTTAAATTATAAATTATTTTTTATATATTTAAAATGCTAATTTAAAAATAAAATATAAAATGTTTTTTTTTATCAGGAGGATCTTTAATATTATTATTGGCACAAAGTTTACCTAATATTAAAACTGATTGGAGTAGATGGAACTTTTTCTTTTGTGATGAAAGAGTTGTTCCCTTTGATAGCAATGATTCCACTTATGGAGAATATAAATCAAATTTGATTGGAAAAATACCAATAACTGAAGATCAATTTATAAAAATTAATCCTGATTTATCTGGTAAAATAATATGTTTCAATCAAAAATCAATTTTTCAATTTCTTTTTTTATAAAATATTTGTTTAATTATACTTATAGCTGAAGATGCTGCAAAAGATTATATTAAGAAGATGTCCGTTTTTTTTCCTCCTGACCGTGTTCCATGTTTTGATGTTCTTCTTTTGGGATTGGGTCTAGATGGACATATATGTTCTCTTTTTCCTGGTCATAAGCTTTTGAACGAAGCCAGTTTATGGGTCTGTCCTATAAATGATTCTCCTAAGCCACCACCATCTCGTATTACTCTTACTCTTCCTGTGATAAATAATGCAAAAAAATGCATATTTGCTGTTACCGGATCTAGCAAAGCAGAAATTATTAAGGTAATTATTTTATTAAAAATTAAAGAAAAATAATTTTTAAATTTATTTAATTTATATGAAAGCTATTATTTTACTTTAAATATTTAATATCTCACAGCGAATTTTGCAAGACAAAGAAAATTTGCCAGCTGCTCGTGTACAACCACATAATGGAGAATTATATTGGATCTTAGATGAAGCTGCTGCAAAATTCTTAGGAACAGCCTAAACAAGATATTCAATAAAATTAACTTATATTCCATGTCAATATTTTATCCTACTTCTCAGAAAATTTCAAATATATAAGCATATATATATATATATATATATATATATATATATATACATATATATGTTTTTTATTTAAAAATTACTTAATGAAAAATTGATATTTTTTTATAATTTATTGCTCAATGATTTATATTTTCTTATTATTATTTAATCTATTTTATGTTATTCTGTTATAAATTTTAATATTTATAAATTTCAAATATTTTATTTTTCTATTTGAATTTGTAAACATTCAGTTATAGCAGATATAAAATATAATAAGATAAAGAATTTTTACTAAATCATATTATTAATTATCATCAAATTTCAATTTATATTCATTATATTATTTTAATAAATTTACAAAATCATAAAAAAAAACGAAAATGATAAAAATTTAAACAATATGGATATAATTTCATTGCTAAAGTTAAAAAATATATAATTTTCAGTAATATTTATTTATATATAAAAAGAACATATAAAAAAAAATATATGATAATACATATATTCAACATTATATGATTCGATCATAAATTTATCATAAATTATATTTTAAAAAAATATAAATAAAAATAAATATTTTCAAAAAATTAAATCAAAATATAAATAAACAATAAAATGCACAAAAAATACATAATTTTAATTTATAATTTTGTTAAATTATAAAATTTAATAAATAAAATTACTAAATTGAAATTACTAATTAAAATTTTTATGATAAAAAAATATATACATAAATATTAGAATATCATATCTTTATTATTGATATTGAATAGAATAATATTTATAATACATTGATTTTGTCATAATTTCTATTTAATTCTGCATTCCAATCATGGGAAATGAAAACAATATATTTTATTTCCAAAAAAAAATATCATAATCATTGTAACTTTTTATACAGAAGTAAATAGATATCTAACATAAATATAATAAAGAATTATGTATGCATTTTGCAAATTATAAAAGATATTCTTTGGTGATTTATATTAAAATGAATAAATATTGATAAATAGGTATGTAACAAAAAATGACTATTTTGATACGATGCATATGTTTTTATATATTATCATATGGAGTTAATTATTAATATATATTAATATAATTCGAGGCAGGAATATCATTTGTAATGTACTTAATAGATAACATTCAGTCAAATTCAATAACCAATGTTAATTAGTTAGGAACTAGACTTTTACAATAATTTAATATATTTATATAATATTTAAATATATAATTTATATAATATTTATATAAGTTATGCTTATATTTTTATTTTTTTTTAATATAAAAACATTATATGATAAATATGAATGATAAATATCAAGTCATAAAAGAAATTAAAAAAAAATTAATTCACAATGATTTTCACAAAACTTAATATCAATTTCATTATAATATATATAATTGCGTAATTCATAAAACACTTTAATTTCGTACAGTATAAATATATATAATTTTCTTTTTTCAAATTCATATGAATTTTAAGAAATTCAAGTATAGTGACATCTTATTAACATAAAAACAATCGAAAATTTCATTATATATGTTTATATAATATAATATGTAAAATACTTTAATTACTTTAAAAAAGATTTATAATTTTTAACTTTTTTATGTGATATTTTATTTTTTATATTAAAAATTTAATGAAAAATATAAAAGGATATCTTTAATTCATGAAAATAATATCTAAAGTTTCTTTGCAATTAAATTAAATGGAAATCAAAATTATTATTCTTTATCATTTTCATTTAAAATTCATGATTATTTCTGTAATTATTCTGAAAAAAGAAGTAAACAGACACGTATATAATACCATATCTCGATATACTTCTTGGAGCCTAAATATATATTATTTATAATACATAGAATATACATACTCATTGACAAGATTTACTAATGAGAGTATTACTAATATAAGAACAATATATGTAACAAATGTAATATGCAGAATAAAATATTCGTTCGCGAAACAAATTTAACATATAAATTATAAAAGTGCAGTTTTCGCAATAACTCATAGCATAACATCTTGATAAGCGGATTCATTTATTATTATTATTATTATTATTAATTATTATTCATTATTATTATTATTCATTATTATAATTATTCATTATCATCATCATCATCGTCATTATTATTATTATTATTATTGTTATTATTATTATTATTATTATTATTATTATTATTATTATTATTATTAATATTACTATTACTATAATTATATTATTATCATTAATATTATTATTAAATACTGGAAGATATTTACGTTAAAAATTAAATATATTTTTAGAATTGATAGGATGTTATGCATTGAATTATATTTTCAAAATTTATCTTATAATCATATATATCACAGTAATAATATAATTTGATCTTACTACTTTCAGAATTTGTAAGATTATATAATGTGTTTTTAAGTAATACATTCATTTATATTTTCATAAAATTACATCTCATGCGTTTTATCATCTGATTTTTGAAACTTTGCTATTGTATGAAGAATGTTTTTCTTCTTGTTATTATAACTACCAGTCATACTTCATGATCTTATATATTTCATAAAAAAAAAAAACAATCAAAATGAAATTATAAGTCATAATACTTTTTGCTAATTATCTTTGTACTATCATTTCTATTTTTAAATTAAGAATCGATATTTTTGTTTTTCTTTACTGAAGTAAAATAAAAATAACAATGAATATAATTAAATTAATTAATATGATATATTCACAAATATATAAATTTCGTTGAAAATTATTCAAATTTTTTGTATTGACCATTCTTATATTTATACTTATTTTCTTATTTAAATTCTTTTATAAATGTGTATTCTATATTGTAATAGTATGATACAATTGAAAAATGGCAAATGCTTAAATAATTGTAAAAGCATCGAGTTAACAATAAATAAGCGATGTTACATGTAACAAAAGGCAAAATATGCCAAATTGCTCGATATCCCAACCAACGACTGGCATTTTATATATTTTAATATAATGTAATTAAAAAATAATTTAATTAAATTAATATTACCTAAAATAAATAATCATCACGTCATATTAACACCCAAAAAATCTCTAACAGTTTCATATACTATATAACTAATGGATACAGCTGGTGCCACCTAAGAAAGAAAGACAATTGATATAATTAATAATTTAGAATTTAGAATTTTGTTACGCAAGTTATTTCATACCTTTAAAAAATTTGGAGTTAAGCCTCTATATAAACCGCGAATTCCTTCATTTTTAATAATGTCTTTAAAAACAGCAATCATAGTATTTGGTTTTCCTGGTGATATATCTGCTTGTAATCGTGTTCTAACTAATGCTAAAGGATATGAGCATACTTGACCGGCTGTACTTGAAGCTGTTCCACATAATAATAATATCCAAAAGGGTGGTTGTTCATTTTTATCATGTGTTCGTAAATACCTATTTTTCAAAGTCTGTAATAAAAAATAGTAAATAATATTCCAAAGATTATTAAATATTAATTATTTGAATTTTATATTTACTTCATATACAGCCAAATCAATACCAGCATATGGAATTATTCCCATTAAATTAGGTATGTAACCTCTATAAAAAGATTTTAAACCTCCTTGTTTATATATCTTTTTTGTTGCATCTACTAAACCTGAAAACTCTCCTGTTTTTCTAAGTGCAAATCTAGTTTTGAGTACCTATAATATCATGAATAATATCATTATAAAATAATAAATATTTTACATATTATGATTTGTTAATTATATACCTCAAGTGGATATATAGCTGATTGACTAATTCCGCCAGCTAATGATCCCGCCATTAATCGTTCGTAAAGTCCGAGCTCTCTAACATCATCTCCTTTAATCGCTCTCTTAATTTGCTCATAGGCCATGAATTTCAAAGCGCTTTCTGGTCCGATTTTAAGTACGTTTATACCATTTCCTCTCCACAAACTAAGAGAACCACCTTCGCGAAGCATATACCTGAAGCAACTTTTGATTTTGCAATGTCGCGTTCCATGCACCTGAAAATATTCTTTTTTGTAAAACAAACAGAACTGAATACATTTAATTTTGATTATTTTTTATTTTATATTTATATTTTTTAATATCTATTACGTATCTAATATTATGATTATATTATCTATTATACTGTAATTTTATCTTTTAATTTCTATTAATAATTAAATTTCTTTGTTTCTTATTTTCTTTAAATTTAATATGTTATATATATTAAGTTAAATATTGTTAATTGTTTGATAAATTAATGATTTTTATATATCTGAAATATTCTTATAAACCTACCTGTAGATAAACTTTAATACGATCTAAAGGTGCAGTACATGTGCGTGATACACCACCTGCTACGCCACCGGACACCAAATGTCGCCACCACATTCCGGAGACCATTTCACCAGTTGTAAAATCCTCGGGGACACCAATATCTTCCCCGATGTCCATATACTGAAAAAAGAACAGTAACCAATGAAATTATTAAAATTTATCTTTTTGCATGAATACATGTCCTTATTAATGAACACACCGAAAATGAACCACCGCTTTGCATATTGAAAAGAATTGTACCGCGAAAATGTAGTTTAAACTTTGATAAATCGTGCATGATTAATTCATTAATGATTAATCTTTTACCCGCCATATTCTGTGACTGACATCTAGCAATTATACATAAATGTATATTTCTATCATTGTTGCCAAAATATATGAAAAAAAATCTTAATAATTTACAATTATATATCTAGATTACACGATCTACATTGGTTTAAAAATACTCAGATATAAATATTTCAAAATTTATTAGAACGTCATTAATTTTAATTTCAATTTTAAAAAAATAATTTTAATCATTATCTGAAAAATATTCTTTAACATATTTTAAATTAATATCCACTGATCCTCTTCAGTTTAGTTAAAATACATAGCTAGCTACGTTTTGCTTGAACCAGTAGTTTGTGTACCACGTGTCAGATAATTCTTGAACTCCGATCAACTATATATATTTTTCAGATTATTTCTTTCAGACACGGATTTTGAACTGTTTTGTTTGTTATAAACATTATATCATATTTTACAATTAATCTTTTCTTTTTTTAATAATCATATTATTAAAAAAAGGTATTATATAGCTAATATTAGATGATATACTATAAAACTGATTTCTTTAAATTTTAAACATAAATTTTAACCATAAAACATGTATCAATATTTAGAAAATATTTTGATATTTTAAGTCAAAATTTTAAGTCAAAATTTTGAATAATCCTATTATATAAATATAATTTTGAAAATACATAATTTTTAATAAAATTTTGTTCATTAGATCTGAATGAATGAAATAAAATAGATAAAAATGCAGAAAAGAAAAATGTTTAACAGTTTTATAAACTTGTTAATCATCATCATTGTATTCATCGCAAATAGTTAAATATGTAGCAAATTAACTTTTTAAAAAAACGAACATTTACATTTCAATTCGATCATTTACATGTTTATTTTTAAAACATCCTATGTTTCAATATAGATATGATCATTAACATAATATATATATATCTTAGATAAGCATTCAAAATAAAAATTTATTATCATTTATTTGTGTTATTTATTTTCATTTCATTTATTTATATTCTATTTTTTAGCGAAATTATTAAAAAACAATAATTTAAATGTTTAATGAACGATGAAATTGTTTTTTTTTATATATTTTCTATTATAAAACAATGAAAACTCAGATTTCATTTTCTGGACAAGTTATGTATAAGAAAAATAAAAACAACTACAAAAGACCTTGATGCAGTAAGGTTTCACTAAATAAGATTTCGACCTTGCATGCTTTTGGTTGATTACACAAGCAACTATTATCAATGTTTTGTGTGAAAAAAAAAATTCACAACAACATCCATTAATCATTAAAATTATAATTTAAATTTTTTATAACTTTATACAAAATTTTCTAATTACCATAATTAATATAAAAAATATATATATTTTTGTTCAATCTTAAATCATAGCTTAATATGTCACAAAAATAAATGTTAGTATGTTTGAAATAGTACATAAATAATATATAATAAAATTAAAAATAAATAAAAAACAAAATAATAATTTTTACAATAAAATATGTTTATTGTAAAAGTTTTTTTTAGAACTCTCAAATTAATTAAAATTAAATAAAATAAAAAAAATAAATTGAAAATATATCAATCGTAGATACTTAACTTTACGTAAAACTGAAGTGCAATATCTGTATCGATATTTACGCTGTCCATTATTGAACGGATCTCTCGTTATTTTTTTTTGAAAATTACATGATGTTGTATAAAACTCTGGTTAAAATTGGATAAATTTAAAGATCAAAAGGTATAAAGAAATGGTTTCCTGTAGTTAACTCGGGCTACAAGCCAATAAATAGTTTGATGTCTTGCCTAATGTTAGCTATAAAATCTCTTTCAATATAACTAATATTCTTCGAATGTAAGAAATTTTTAATTATTTTTAATAAAACAAAATAGGCCGATTATTTTGAATTTAGCTAAATAGAAATAATAAAATAAAATAATTTAATTAGGATATATTATATAATTTAATAATGATTTGACTTTGATCTAAGAATTTTCTTTTTATTTTATATATATATATAAAAATTATATTATATAAATATATATTTAAAAAAATTATATATATATAAATATATATTTTCTGTATAAAATAAATATTAATTTGGATTAATATTAACGTGTACAACAAATTAATTTAAGTGTTAATTAAAATGATATTTGATAAGATTAATTAAAAATCTATTAAATTCGATATCAAACTATTAATTTCTATTTCTTTTTATATAAAAATATCACTTCTTATTATTATATTTATTTATTATTATTTATTTTATATTTCTATTAAAAATAAAAATTTTTTAATAATTATATTAACTTATTTTTTATCAAAAATCATATTGAAGTGCAATAAAATATACGCGGAATCATGTTGTTTTAAATTATAAAATACAAATGGAAATACTTAATGATAGTTAGAACTTAAGGAAAATCGATATTCCGACTCAAGTGTCAGATAACAATTGCCCAGTTACTAGCTGCAATACTTACTTTATACTGAGATATTAAATATATTTGTTTTATAATATTATCAATTTTTTTCTCAATATATATGTATATTTTCACGATTTTTATATTTAAAAGAATATAGAATTGTAAAATTAATTTCTTACTTTTTTATACGGATGTTGTTATTCATTTTTGTAAGAATTTAAAATGATTGTTATTTTAATAAGAATTTTTTACATATGAATGAATATTATGCAATTTTGTATCAATATAAAATATAATTATATAAAATTATGTAATATTTTTAAATATCTCTGAAACATAATTTTTGATAATTCAATATACAATAATGTTATATAATAATGTTATTAAATTTTCATAAATCACAATTTGATTTAATGATTAAATCACATTAATTTGATTTAAAATTTTTTACAATCAAATTATGAAATTTTTATTATAAACATACAAAATCGAATTTTTAGTTACTTATCGAATATAATTAGATATTTATTTATTTAAATAGATATTTATTCTTCAATCTTCAAATATTATAATGAATAATATTTTTTATTTTTTTGAATATCTATATACATTATTGTAAAAACATATTGTAATAATATAATATAAATAACAAATATAAAAAATTTATTGATTCATGTATTAAAAATTAATTTGAATATTATAGGATAAATCAAAAAAAAATGCATTTTGAATTTATAAAAATAATTAGATACATTACAAATTTGAATTATTAAATTAAAATAATTTTTTCATAAAATAATATATTTTATGAAAAAAATTGAATTATCAATAGAAAAAACCAATATACGTAGAAGATAATAAAGAAAAATAATGAATCCAAGATAAAAATAAAACAGAATACATTATTAATAAAAAATAATTTTTAATATCTTAAATTACTTAAATATTACAATCATGAAGATATCAAAATTCTTAATTTTTAAAATTGCTATTTTAATTATAAATTACTTATAAATTTAATTATTTAAGTATTACTGCTATTACTGCTGTAATACTTAAGTATTAACATAAAGAATAGCTATAATAATATAATAATAAAATTATAATTTCATTTAATTTTCAATATTATTTTATTATATCAAATTAATTAAATAAATTGTACATATTTATAAAATAATATATTTATTAAAAGAAAGTTTGAATTTATTTTTTTTATAACAAAGATATACATTATTTAACATTAAAATTAAACATTTATTATAAATATTTTTATGAATAATTGTAATTTTTTGATTTAATTATTGGAGTTTCATTTGTAATTACTATAAAAATTTGAATTTTGATGTTATAATATATGCTAAATAAAAATAATTATCAAACTAAAATAGTTTATAATAGAAATGATCTTCGTCAACTTTTTATTTTTTTCACAATTGTAATCTTTATTCATCTTTATGTAATAAATTAAATTTTTATTAACAAAATAATAATTAATCATTATCATATTATTTGTAATTCTAATTAAATTATTAAATTATGAATTATAAAATTGAAATGATATAATTGTGAGTTCTTGAATTATAAAAATTCCCGCATAAAAAGTTATACATAGAAATGTTCATGCAAAACAATTTAAAACAAATCAAAGAAAAAAAAGAATTAACATTAATGATCATCATATAATATTTTACGAATATTGGACACATATTCGTAATTAACATAAATCTTATTTTCTACACAGATCAAACATGCTTAAAAGAATTTAATAAAGGTTTTTATTATAATTATTATAAATATTTTTTTTTAGTATATTTAAGAATAAAATATTTATATAACATATAATTAATAATTTGTTATATTAACTGTCATTTACTCTATATATATAAAAAGAAAGCCATTGAATTAGTAATTATCATTCATAGTATTCTGTTTCTTAAATGTGTTAAGTTTTAATAATTTGATGCAAAAAAGTGTTCTGTTAAAATTTTATCAAAATTAAATTAATTTCACAAAACTATATCTTAAAAGATACAATAAATTTGTATTGAATTTTCGCTTTTTTGATCATTTCCCACGTGATATTTTCAGCCATAACCTCTACACAATTATAACCTCTTATAGATATAAGTAGACACATACAAAAAATTTCTTGATTTGCTTATTTAAGAAATTTTGAAAAGAAACTTTATTCATTTCATAATTTGTAAAATTAAGTTTCTATAAAAATATAAAATAATAAAAAATTAATTGTTACAAAATTAAATATTTTTAATTTCTTTTTTCCTTTTTTAAAAGTATTATATTTAAAATTTAAGATAAATCAAAATTGCATTGAATTAGTTTTAACAATTTTTTTAATTCATTATTTATTTCGGTATATACTTATATTATTATTGGATAAGAATAAACACTTACTCTTTGTAATAATTCATGATAATTTTGAAGAAATTCCTCACAGACCGGACAAGTAGATGAAATACAATCATGTTTCAAAAATCCTGAATTTTTTAATGTATACATTATTTCGAGAGTAAAAATCAATAAAGAATTATATTCACTAAATTTTCTTCTTTTAATACCGAAAAATTGAATTAAAATTTAGCAAATTCAATACTTTTAAAATCGCGAAACAAGCATAAGGATAAATATGTAAACATAAATAATAATAAGCAAAACTTGTCGAATACAAGAGAATTAGATATAACGAGCCTCGCCATTAGTCAGTGATTTGAGAGCTCGGAGTCCAATCTCAAGACTAAAAAGTGCCATCGAGAAATAGTATAAGAATTGAAACAAAGATATCTTTCGTTTAGTCGAGAAAGCTCCCCTCCCCTCCCCCACTATTTTCTTGCAATATCTATAGTGTGCGTCACATTTCTTAAAGTAATTTCAATATTCACCATTAAATTAAATTTTATAATTTGTTGAAATAATTGTTATAATTTAATGCTTAATTTATATTATTGAAAAATCTATTATCTATATAACATTTTATCAATATATTAATAATAAATATATGAAAACATAAAAATATGAATAAAAAAATTTTATGATTATATGATGTTAATAAATTCGAAAATTATTTTCGAATCAATGAAATTTGTAATTTGAAATTATATAAAATTATTTTCAATTAAAATTTATTTTCAAATATATTAACAATGATGAATAACACAATATTATTATATAATAACACAATATTATACAAAAATTTAATTCCTTGTTAATATTCCAATTTAGAGCAATTATGTATTGACATTAATATATTTGAAAAAGACATATAAGCACGTGGACTCTCTTCATGTTTATTTCGATATAAAAATCATAAAAGATGAATTATTCAATCATATATAGTAATTAAATATTTTTTATAATAGCCATAATAATAGCCATAAATTTACAAATAAAATAAAAAGATGGAGTATAAAACATAAAAATGAAATTTTGTTTATGTAATATTGATTTTTACGTAATATTTATGGCTTTTATGTAGAAAAATATGTAGAAAAATATATATGTAGATATATATATCTATATATACTATAGATCTATGGATATTACAATATATGTACACAACTAGACTATACACACAATATATATATATATATATATATATATATATATATATATATATTTATTAACATTTCAAACATAGCACATGCATTGTATGAATAATTAAAAATTCTATAACAATATATCATCCAAAATAATAAAAAATCGAATAATAGATCTTCATTCAATAATGAAATGTGTTATTCTACGACAATCATTCAAAATAATAGAAAATTAAATAATAAATCTTTATTCAAAAATATTATTTCATTTTATCAAAATACTTAAAATTTTTTAATTTATGAATTATTTTTGAAAATTAATTTTTGAAAAATAATTATGTACCAATAATATATAACATATATTTTATAAAAAAAATGTGATTTATAAAAATATATTTTACCTTTTTTTATATAGTTATAAATTATCTATTGAAGTTTCAAACATTTTTAATAAAAAATTTTTAATTTTAAATTTAAATATTAATTTCATATTTATTTTATAATTAAAATTCATAATATGAAACTTTGCAACAGACGATGATTTCATAAAGTACACGGCTGACGAAATATTGCGAAATACTTCATCATAGTAAAAAATTCTGCTTTTGTGATTAAATTTAAATTAAATGATAATAAAATTATAATACTTCTCATTATCCTTCTCCATTATATATTTTATATATATTTTCTATATACTTCATTATATATTTTCATTATATATCTAATATTTAATTTATTTTATTGCTTATAACAATTATAAAATATTTTTATTATTGTTCTTTTTATTATTGATTATTATTTAAAATATAATGTTTTTATAAACGATAATCTCATTTTATATTATTTTTTATTATTTTATATTATTTTTTAAGTGTATAATTATGAAAATTACGTAAATTAAATTTTTACTTATAATTGATAACTAATATAGTCCAGTAATGATTAAATATTTGATAAAAGATATAAAATGCAATATAATTTATAAAATTATAATTAAATTATTAGTATTTCAAATAGCTTCTTTTATTAATCATTAATATATTGAATTATTCAATAATTTTCTCTCTATTAAATAAAAGCAGAAAAGAGAAGTAATTGAAAATTCCGTCTGCGATATCTTTTATTTCATCACTTTTACTTTTAATTAACATTTTCACTATTTGAGATATTGAGCTATATTGATGGAATATAATATGGATTACATTTAAAAAATTTAAGTTTCATATTCACGAAACATCATTCGATCTCTCAATCTTTCTTTGGTTAGTAGAACTATGATTATCAATAAATCAGTTTTGCAAAATTAAAACAGCGCATGTGTAAAAAAAGCTAACTTCATAGCGCATGCGTATGAAATCAAGTTAAAAAGAATAGGGAATACAATATAGTGGGGAAAGGCGATAGAAACAGCTGCAAACTATCAAGGTCATTTTAAATGACAATCACTACGTCACATCTTTGGTCGAGCCCTCTTTGTCGACGAATCAGAAACTTGAATCAACTCAGTCATTTTCCCATATATATATAAATTACATCCACAAGTTCATTGTACAATTAATATATAAGTAAAGTATAAAGTACAAACAATTCTAGAGTTATTTATATTATTAAATTTATATTTCAACACATATAGAATAATAAAATAATAATTTTTTGTTAATATAGATAGATATAGTATATATAATATATAGATATATAATTATAAATTCATAAGTATCTTCTTCATAAGTATATATAATGTATATGTTTATAATAATATATAAAATAGTATGCTTTTTAATTTATTACATATAAATTATATTAATTACTTACATTTGTATGATGCCAATATTCGATAAGACCCAAAAGATCAGAACTTGGCGCGTAAAGCAAAAAATCTCGCCATTCATTAAAACTTATAGTGAGACTTCCATCTTTGTCCATCCTATAAGTCAATATTACAAATTGTATTTCATTTTTTTTATAATAAATTATATTAAATAAAAAATTCACATATATCATGTATGTTAGATATAAAAATAAAATATTTTATTAAACTTTTATTAAACTTACCGTTGCAATAATTTTTTTGCTTCATTGAAATCCATTTTTATTCCCAATTCTTCAAATGCTTTTATTAATTCCTCTAGATCAATTTTACCTACGAATTGACGATATGATAATAAAAAATATATTATGTTATAGTTTAGTTAATTATACTAAATAAGATTTAATCAAGATTTATCAATAGAAAAAAGTAACGAAGAAGAAGAAAAAGAAGAAAAAGAACAACAACACAACAATAATAATAATAATTATTATTTTATGAATTTTTAAGTAATGATTTATTTGACTATTATTAAGATTGCATTCAAAATAATTATTTGTATATAGAATATAAGTTGTCATTTATATAAAGTTATTTTTTATCCTTTAAAAAATTTTTTCGTAAAATTCCATTTGAAAAAATTAATCAAATTCTATTTTCTTCATATTTTTGTTTATATATAATTTATAGCATAAAGATTTTTAGAAATTTTGGTTATAGGTATAATTTTAAGTAAAAAATCTATTGATTATATATAGTTGTACGATTTTCATTAATATTATTATAATACTTTTTATTCCAAAAATTGTAATTAGTTTTAAAAATCATATTATGATTTCTAATAAAATTTTATTAGAGATCAGAAGATTATATTAATAATGAAATATCATATAAAAAACTTAAAATGATTTTTATAGTTTAGATAATATATAAGCAAAAGTTAATATTTAATAATAACATTAAATATATTTTATTAGAATTATGCTTACAGTTAATAGATAAAAAATTATTTCATATAGAAATTTCTTAAGAAATAATTAACAAGTATAGACATCTTTCCCATTATATACGCTAAATAATAATTATTTTTCGCACATCTACTGACCATCTTTATTTGTGTCAAGATGTGAGAATTGTAAACGCAGATTTTTTTCGTGTTCGCGGACATAATGTATAAATTCTGCAAGTGTGATATCACCACTCTTAGTACTATCCGATCTGGCTAAAAATCTCTGAAAAAAAAAAAACTTTTGAATTATATAAGACTTATAAGCCAATATGATTACAAATTAATTTATTCATTTTTTACGAAATGAAAAATTTATATAATATTTTTATGTCATTTATATATTTTTTATTGATAAATAAATAAAAAATTTTATGAATTTGTATATTAGAATATTCTATTGTACTTAGAAAATATTATAAAATTGGATAATAACCTTAATGAAACTATATAAATTATATTAACTATGACTATATATAAGTACATATATACTCCGTTTCGAGAATATTTATGACAATCTTTTTAAATTAAATAAAATTCTTCAAATATATAAAATTAATAATTGATAAAGCATTTTTAGTAAATTCAAAATTATTATTATTAATTACGAATAATTGAAATAAAAATTTTATGAAATGTTTATGAATTCAAAACTTTGCTTATATATCACAATTAAAATAAGTCATTTCAATTCATCTTATAATAAATATTAATTTATAACAATATTTGTTGCTTGTATTTTTTATCTATTATAATTTAAAATATAATATTTAAATAATATCATTTTTTATAAATTAACAAAATAATTTTTTTTCTGAAATTATTGAAATCATTAAAGATTAAAATATGATATATAAAACATATATCATATTATTTATTATTAAAAACTAATATTTTTAATTTTAATGTAATATGTGCAATAAATATTTATCGCTTAATATAAAGATATGTCTTTATTATTACATATATATGAAATATAAAATAAATAATTTTATAAATTTTCAATTACATTTAATAATAATACAAAAAATAAAATCATATTACATTTAAATATTAATTTAAAGAATAGAAAGAATAGAATATCATATAAGTAATGACTTTCATTCGATATTTGAAAGTTGCATATCTATAATTCGATTGTATGCTATTAGCATTTTTTAAGTAAGATTATAAAATTATATATACCTCCGCATAATATTTATCGACACCCACATCACGAAGTGCCTTGGACAAATCTTTTACATCAATTCTTCCATTTCCATCTAAATCTAATTTTTGAAATATTTGTTCAAATCTTTTCTCGTCTTCTGCCGGCAACTCATGTAGATAGTGCGGTGGCATTACGTTATGCACCGCGCTTCTTCGACCATTAGGCATTGTTCTTTATCAATATTGAAACTCTTTCTAATATATGCGTGTATATTATTATTCGAAATATTTTTTTTATTTTTTGACAATATATACTTCCCAAACTTTCTGCAAGCTCTTAATATCATTACTAAACGGAGCGTTTCGATCGTTACACACACTTACGATGAAATTCATAACTATACACACGTGGTATTATACGATGAACATTGATTTTTTAACCATTCGCGCACTTTCTACTAATAAATTAACATGATTCTCTGTCTTTTATATTGTGCTGTCAAATTAAACAAGAAATTTTGAAAAAATTTTACACTGTCAAAATAAATAGCGCATATAAAGAAATAATATATAAGCACGTGTAAAAAAAGAACTTAAATCTTTACACTACAAGATTATTGAATAAATATGTTTCAATTAACTGTATATTCACCATATAAAGTAAAACCATACCATCTTCCCCCACGTTTATATCTGAACAATTGTCTACGCACAACTAAGTTCGATGCCGCTGGAATGTCCTGTTCCGCATTCGACAATAATTGAAGACGCCATCTGATGATATGTTTGAGAAATATTTTTTTGCACTTTGAACAAAGTGATTTTTTAAATGCATTTTTGTTTATTATGTGCGAATTTTAGTTCCAAATTCATATTTTATTAAATTTATAATATCATAATAATGGATAGGAATTATGTAGTTGTAGTAAAAAATGTACATTTGAATAGATAAATATATTATACTTTCACTTATAGTACATTTTTTAGAAAATACAATAAACTTTATGAATGTTTATAGATGATACAAAATGTTCAAAAAATTTTATTTCAAACATTATTCTCAAATAACGTTTCTATTGTATATTATCAAAATATTCGTACTTCAAATTTTTTGTGCTTATTTGCAATAAAAAAAAATAATAGAATTATAATATATAAATTTAAATATTTTTTCAAACATTTTTCAATATATATTAAATATTTATAGTAATTAATCTATATAATTTATATGAATGTACGATAATACGAATATTTTTATTTATTTCTCAATATTTTAGAGCATTGAAATCAGGGTAGTATTATTAAAATTATCACATGTGTATATTATAATACGACTTTTTCCATAATTATTTATTTTAGAAAAATACATTAAAAATGCCAGACTAACAATTATGTCAAACACAATAGACAATACAAATATATAATATTATTTAATATCTTTTATTAAATTTAATAAAACAAACATATATATATTTTTAATTTTTCTTACCAAAAGATTTTAATTAAATAATTTTTAATGAAAAAAAATTCTGAATTCTAATGAAAAAATAATCCTGAAATATATATATATGCATTGCCTATTATGTTTACAACTAATGTAACGAAAATCTTACAATCAGGAATTAATTTAACGTAAGTGTCACAAAAGTACTATTAGTACTGCTAAGTGCCAAGTGCTCACTGACTATATGCATTATATACCGATATGTATATAATTATTATTGTTTCATTATGTTCAAACAAAGAACGTTAATATAGATTGTATGTGGCTTCATACCATTAACATAGGTACGTGTGTATTATTATACACATAGTGACATGTTTAACATGCAATTAATCTGAAGCTTGCACAAACAGTATTGTTGCGCTTATTACTTCCCAGTGTACACAGCCCTCTTCACTTTTTATTCTCTATATTTATTAACGAGTCATACTACAAATAAAAACAAATTAGAAAAGGAAAGAAAAAAAGAGATAGCTAAAAGATAGTATTTGAAAAGTAGATTACTAGATAATTAATTATAATTCCTTTAAACAAAATATTTAAGGTTTTTGAATAAATTTTCTAAATGTTTGTATAAAGGAATTATTTAAAATATCAAAAGATAATTTAAAACAGAATTTTATGCAATGAATTTTAAATTCTTTAACTTATATATCTATAAACAAATTGCAAAAACAGGGTCCATTTACAGAAAGGAACATTTTTATATTTCTTTTTTATATTTATTTTTTTCTCATATTATATTAAAAGATGACTTTGATCAGAATTATAAAATATTATAATTTAATTTATATTGATATAATATTAAATATTAAATATATTTATATTTAATATTGATATAAAAAAATTTTTAAGTTTTCATTTAAAATTTAGAAACTTCTGATAAGTATAAAATTTTATATCATTTGTTATATTTGAAATAAGAAACTAAAAAATGATCCCTTTCTGCAATATTGTCACATGTTTTCTTTCAATTAATTATGATGTTAAAATATAATCTTATGACAAATATATAGCAAATTAAGAATTATTTTCACAAATATAAAAAATTTGTACTACATAAACTTCTTTTTAAGATTTCATACTTTTACCTCTGAAATCAGTAACAAAATAAATAATAAAGTTTTTAACATATTTTCAAATATATATAAATATAGCTTCAAATTTAAACATAATCAATACCAATGATACTTCCAACGTAGAACAAATAGTTTAATATTTTGCATGTTAAATATCTTCAAATCTGTAATGGAAATATATTTTATAGAAACATAAAAAATCACTTGATGTATAAGTGAAAATTCTCGAATATTCCATATAATTAAAAATAGCACAGTTGTAGTTTGAATCGAAAATATGTAATTTTATACATATTTAAATATATTGAAATAGAACAAGTTAATTTCTTTTATAATTTTCTAATATATATTATTTCATATTTCATAATATACTGTGACAAATGAAGAAATTTGCAACATTAAATTAATAAAACAAATAAAATTGCACCATTATTCGTAATTTTTATAAGAAACTAGTTATGTTCTGAGATTACATTTCTTTCTATAATTCTAAGTAATGTGCCTCTATATATTACATAATTTTGAAAAAATATTGAAATCAATATGTTTTTTATGATCTTTTATATGTGACTATTTATGATCAAAAGGCACATTTTAGATTGAAAGAAATAATATTCTACTTGAACATATCTAGTTCTGCATATCAAGATAAAATGACATTTTTAATGAAAGATCAATTTCTTTTGATCTTTATTTCATAAAAAGTCTATGTCATTTCCACTAAAACTGGAATCATGAATATCTATACTACACATTATTTCATAAAAAAATTAAAGAAACCAAAAACTATTGTAATGTATAAATCACTATATCATAAAAAAGTTACAACTTGATCAATGCACTTAGTTTGATCAAATTTTGTATCATATATACAAAATATTATTAATATTAATTGAATTAATTTTTTAATAAGAAAAAAAGATATTATGTTATATCAAATACAAAGAATAGATTTTAAGAATATGAATTTGTCATCCATAAAATAAAATATTTCATTTGATTTTTATTGTAAAAAATATTAATTTCATTTTTCTTTTTTCATTTTTTTAATAATTAAATAAGAATAGTATGCCAATATTGCATACATTAAATTATACCTAGCATAAGAAATTAAATTGATAGTTAAGAGGAAGCCAATGTGACTGTTCAGTTTCTCATAAGTCCGTAAATCGAACATGTTTACAAACGTGAGAGCTGCAGCTCGCATAACAGTTTATTTCTAGTATTAATTTCACTCCATAATAATTTTAAATCAGTGATTTTCAAACTCTATTTCACTTAATAAATTTACAAAAAAAAAAAAAAAAAAAAAAAAAAAAAAAAAAAAAAAAAAAAAAAAAAAAAAAAAAATAAAAAGTCATAAAAATTTTCCTTACATTATTCTGCGAATAACAAATTGAATACAATAACTATTACATTAAATATATATTTAAAAACCATTATTTCAAATCAATTAACTATAGCAAATGAAATAAAATATTATTTTTTTCACCAGGCACAAATGGAATTTATAATTAATTTTTTTTATTATATATTTTCAAATAAAGAAAAATTTTATATATTATAAATCTCTCTCTCTCTCTCTCTCTCTCTCTCTCTCTCTCTCTCTCTCTCTCTCTCTTTCAAATTCAAAACTGTAATATTTTGTATTCAAATCGTGAAATAGAACTTTGATTAAAAAAAGTTAATGATCAAGAAAAAAATATCTTTCTCAATTGCTTTTGTTTACAATATTATCAATATTCAATTAATTTCGTGCAGATAATATTCATCTGAAAATCTATGTTATAAATTGATTATTCAATAAATGAATTTTAAAAAGAAGAAAATTTCGAAACTCAAATTTATATTATTAAAACTGAAATTAATATCTTACTAATATAGTTAGAACAAAATATATTACGATGTATAAATTACCGTGTTTTATTTGGAAACACATTTTCAAATATGAAAACATGAATCATGAAACGAAGTACAATAAGAAAATTAAGTATTTTATAAAATTTTGTTATATGAGCTAAAAATTTGTGTGTGTGTGTGTGTGTGTGTGTGTGTGTGCTGTGTGTGCGCGCGCGTGTGTGTATCATACATACATACACACATTTATTTATTATTATATATATTTATTTATTTATTTATATTAAAAGCAATATATATTTTAATTATGCAAAATTTTAACAGAATATGTTAATTTCATGTATGCATAACATCTATATGTATTCGTATTTATCATATAACCTCGTTGCAGGTTAAATAGCATTCTTTCCGAATGTATTAGTAATATAATATTCTTTGCTTCATTGTGCAAACATATAAACAAAATATAGGTAAACTTATCAATGTATGACGCTTGAGTTTTGATAATTTTTAAATATATCATAGAAAACAAGATTTTCAAGTTTTTTGAATTTTTCCTATACATGTAATCATTGCTCAATTTTAATTTTCAAAATATTTACAAAAATGATTAAATTATTATATTATATATATGACATTCCACAAAAATTATTATATTTAATATTTATCCATTAAGAATTTGGAATTTAAAGAATTTACAGAATGCAAAAATTATAAAAATTCTTGAGCAAATAAAATTATAGTGACCAAAATAACAATGATAAAAACCAAGCATGAAACATTTTAAATATGAGTTATAATAATTATAATAAATGCCGATCATATTTAATAATATCATGATGTATAGGCAAAATTCAATTTATTGTATTAACATCATTTTTTGCAAATATCTTAAAAACTAAGCCAAGCGATTATATATTTATATAGAAAAAAGTTGTTTAAAATATCGTCCTCTATGATATGTTTAAAAATCATCAAATTAATCAAAAGCATTACACATCAATAGATTAACCCAAAATATACTACGCCTTGTCATGTTTATAAAACACTGACATTAATTTCTGTTAAATTTTAACAAATCTGCTCATTTTTTTAATTTATTTTGTTAATGAATGTTCCCACTATGATATAATCCATAATGGAACATCGACCTTTCACCGGTTCTATAAATGTAATTTCAATGCGGCAGCTAACTCTCACTTCTTACACTGATTTTTCTTTATAATAGATTTCTACTGCAGCTATCAAAATTAAAATAATGCGACTTCCTGCATAACTAAATGACAATTACTATCGTGAATATTTGATGCCTTTAACAAATTTTTCTTTGAAATTTTACATATTTACAGCTAGTTTTTATCATTAAAAAAAAAAAAAAAAAAAAAAAANNNNAAAAAAAAAAAAAAAAAAAAAAAAAATTCTCATATAATTAAAGGATTAATATTATCAAGATTTATAAAAACATAGTATATAGGAAACCACTTTACATTACATTATATTGATGGAAAAATTTTCATTTTAATTAAAGTAAGGATGATAAATTTTTCTACCTATTTGATAGTGCTTAAAATGTTTGTGATTTTCTTTTGATTTTGTTTACAATAGCAATAATGTTTTTATGCAAAGAGTAAAAAGTACACTTATTTTCAGTCATTTTGTTGAAAAAATGTAAACATGCTGATGCATGGAAGTTCGCAAAAACAAAAGAGGAAGAAACAGAAAAAAAATTATTTTCACATGTTAAAAAAACATGTTCCAACATATAATGGTCAGATCTAAAAAGTAATTAATATAGTAAGACTTACTATCTTACTATTATTTTTTAGAGTTGTCCTCTTCACTTGACCAATGTTTTTCCTGTTCTTGCAATTCGAATTCCCATCGTAATTCTAATTCCCGCATATCATTTGCAATACCTGCCTCATATGTATCTTCCTAAGAACCAATTTCAAATTTTATAAATTTTTTTTATTATTTTTGCAATAAATAAATAAAATATTTAATACATATTATACATAATACATTTTATTTTATTAATACAAAAACACAATAGCATAACTTACTTCTTCAGGCTTATAATCTTGATTAAAACTTTGAGAACCTAATAAATTATTTGTTGATTGAATCCAAGGTATAGTAGTACCATATGGGCTCCAATTCCGTACATCTTTTTCTTTTTCTCTAATACCAGCTTCAATCATTTGTAATTCTTGTGCTAACCTTTCTCCTGCCGTAAAGGTTGCTCCTTGTGTGGCAAGCTGAAGATGTTTTATAATAATATTTTATTTGAAAACAATAGTCAAAGATAAATAATAGAATTGAACAATACCTTTAAGTCATTGATTTTTTTTTCAAGATGCTTTAATTGTTGTTTTACCTTTTGCGATTCAAGAATTAAACTAAAATAAATTTAATATATATAATAAAATTAAACATTTCAAATAATTATTGCGAAAATAATTATATATTAAAAATTAGTTTACTCTTTAGACATGCAATCCGGTCGTGGAAGTTGCGTATGCGTTGACGAATCGGATACGTTGCGACCGAATGTGATATAACTATCTCCAAAACCACTATTATTAATCGATTGTATTCCTCCATTTGTATCAATAGTAGCATAAGCTGCATTGGAAGTCGATTCTTTTAATTTAATTTTATATTTTTTACATTTCTCTCTCTTTATTTTTTTTGTATTTTGCTAATTATACTTACGTTGATTACCATAATACCAAGATGTAATAGAACTTGTAGGCATAGGTCGATAAGTAGATATTGCAGGAGATGTTCCTCCATCTGTATAAAAATTAGCAGATTGTACACCATTTGTAGATCTAAAAAAAAATTATTTTATTATAACAATAATAATGTAATATACTTCCAAAAAAATTGAATAAAATAATATTATTACCTGATTAAATTTTTAGATAGTTTAGAAATTGGTCCATATTTACTATTAGATGATGCATCAAATGGCACAAATTCATCATCAAATAGAATAGGATCTGTGCATCGGAAATTATTATTGCAGTTCATATTTGTTGAAGGAATCATGGGATTATTTGGTGTATTTGTCCATATAGAGAAATTCGATGATAATGTATCTCCTTGCATATCGTAATTCTGTATATAATATTATAAAAATAATAAAAGATATGTATCTTCTATTTTCATTATAAATCTAATTGAAAAATCGTACCGGTTTCATCTGTGGTACTTGTTTGTTGACAATTGTTTCAAGTTGATTTAATATTTCCATCCTACGTTGCAATAACATTGCTAATGTTTTGGCAACTGTTCGCTGCTATAATATAAATAATATTTTAATATATATAGCAAAGATTATTAAAACATAAAAAAAATTATATTACTTTTTTAGTATTAGAAATTCCATTTGTCATATTAGACGAAATTTGTGATGAATCCCAGATATTAAGATTAGGTGCTGTGTAATCAACAGGTGTATTAGGCATAATATAATGAGAGCAATGTACATCCATATTTTTTGTTGATACCATAGGCAACATTCCTTGAGATGGTAGCATGTAATTTGTCAATGATCCAATAAAATTGTTTTCATTTGTTGGATTATGATGTTGTATTGGATTAATTTTGTTCATAGAATTAAAATCTAAAAAAAATATAATTATTGTTTTTTTAATAGAAAATAATTTTTTCATGTTATTTATATTAAAAATATTTACTTTCTCTATGAGAATTATCATGCGACTTTATAGAATGATAAGATAGATCATCACTTTGTTTGAATGTTTTATTTGATCCATTGACTGATTTATCTGTTTTCATATCTGAATTATTGTTTCCAGATAAACTTGATCTGAGACTTAATTTTCGACTTTTTGATCTATATCTAGTGAAAAAATAAATAAATATATAAAAAAATTAATAAAATATATAAAGATAAGAGATATATTTATGTATAAATATATTCTTAAATCTGTATAGAAGTACTTACTTATCAAGTTCCATATCACTATGAGCAAATGTACAATTAGTAGATCTAGGACAAGATCCTCTAAGTGCGAGATCTCTACACATGCTCACTTTATATTTTGGTTGGCCAGGACCTATATTATGGATACCATCTTGTGCTTTTCGATTACCATGTTGTTGAATGAACTCTACTAATGCTGCAACTACAGTTCTAACAGCTTCTAATGCTGCACGGCATTCTGCTAATGTAGGAGGTTCAGTTTCTGTAATAAAATTAATTAGTTAAATATTTTAAATTTTAATTTGTTTTTAACAAAATATTTAAGTATAATAAATTATACCTGGGCTAGGATCTATCGCAGCTAGCAATTCTAATTGTGGTCTTAAACTACTTAATTGTCCAGGATCAGGAGTACGTTGAAGAGCAATAACTAATTCTTGTACACTTTGAGCAAAAGATTGTGGAGTTTGAAGTTTGTCTATAATACTTTGCATATGAGATTTATGACTTGTATCTCCATATAATAATGCAGACCATTGATCAGGTGCTATTCTTAAACCAGCTTCAGTTGCAATTTGCACTATTTGAGCATCATGCTCTCTTCTTAATGCTTCATATGTTCTGAATTCTTCTTTTAATTGCATCAATGATGAATCTCCTTCTCGTTTAGATACCTAATCAAATGTTTTATTTAAGTTTTTAATAATATAATTCTTATTATGAAATGAAGAATATTTCTTACCTTGAAACAACTTGCTCTATATAACAATTGTACAACATGTCCTATACTAGTTTTAGAAGCTTGAGGAAAATGTGATTCTAAACGTTGAACTACAAACATAACTAACACTTTCCTAGAAAGAGCAGATCCATCTTCCAATGCTAATAAAACAAGTTTCAATACTTCTTCTTGCATTGCTGATAAAAAAAAAATCATTACTATTATTTTTATTATATACATTATATACATTATATACATATTATATACATTATATTTTTATTTATATTTATTATTATTATCTAGTTATTTTATATACCTGGTCCAAGGAATTGACATCCACGAGCCCGTACAGCAGCCCATAGATTAGCATTGAGTTGTTGTGGATTTTGATGTTGTAATATTAATTCTGTAACAGATCTTTCACCTAAACTTCTAGCTGCTCTTACTGCACGTGCTCTTCCTTCTGGTTCCACTAATTGACAACCCACCAAAGTTACTAATTTCCTTTGCATAGGTCGAGATACAAGTCCTGCACCTATTGTTTAACATTGTTTAACATATATATAATCTTCAATTACAAATCTTCAATTTTAAATTATTTAAATAATTTATTATTTTCAACATTACCTGTAGTTAAAGAAGGATTTGTCTGACATGGTTTGAGATATAAAGCAAGTTCCTCAATACAATGTTTAGCAACCAAATAATTAGCATGATCTTCAGGTGGTAGTAATTTTTGATAAGCTGTTGCAATATTTGTGGGAACAGGATTTCCCACTAATTGTAATAAGGCTTCATTTATTGGTAATCTTTCTATTTCTGTATTAATAATACTCTAAAATATATATAATATAAATAAATTATTATTTAAATATAAAAATAATATAAAAATTATAAAATTAAAATAAAAACATAATTTATATAATATATTTCAAATTTGCTTAATAATAAAAATAATTTCACTAAATATAATAATATAAAATATGTGCAATATATATATTATATATATATAATAAACAATGATAATATATTATATATAATTAGATATAATGACAATAATATTTACCTGATCAAAAGGACATTGTTTACGATGTAAATTTGCAAGGCACGTACGACATATTGTATGACCACATCCTAAAGATATTGGACCACGTATGGCCACATCAAAGTCATGACAGCAAACTGGACAAGAAAGAAATTCAGTCCACTGTGGTGCCTGTATTGGCATTCTGTAACAAGTCATATTAAAACATTTTTTTGATTTTTTGATTTCACAATTTCTTGTAATATTATTTTTTATAAATAATTAAAACAAATTTCATATTAATAATAAAAAATTTAATTCAAACTTTATATAATTCATTTATATTTATTTAATAATATTGCGTTATTAAAAAATGCAATATTGCGTTTTAAACAATATTTCTTTATTCAAGAATAAAGACATTTAATTTTAATAAATGTAAAAAATGTATCAATATAATAAATAATCAATATATAAATAGCATTAATTAATACTTTAAAAGATGAATAATAAAAAAACTTAGTTTCAATCGCGAATCTGAGGAAATAAAACCTTTTGAAACAATAACGTTGCCTATCAATTGTTTTCTATATGATGATTATCGCTCTTCTTCAATTCATTAGCGCATAAAATCAAAGTTTGTTTTGAAAAAATATACAGAAAATATTTCAAATATAATCGTTTTAATCACGCAATTAAGTCTAAATTTTTTAATCTTTGTTGCTATTATTCCCGTATTCATTGAATGTCTGCTCTATATATATAAAAATAAAAAAAGCAATATTCGCTTTTGCCACGAGGAAATGTAACGATGCAATAATTATTATTAAAATAACAAAAAATTAAAAAACTCACCTCGTTATTGCCTTCACAAAACATCACATTAACTACTCGATTACTTCGCACGTAGTTCTGCCATCGAAGCAAGAACAGATGAATCACAAATAGTAAGATGAGCTCAGTACAATATTTCTCAAGTATACTTTTTTACTTCACTAGTCATGACGAAAACAATCTAGAAAAATAATTTTTCAATTTCTCTCGATAGAGAGCGCTATGAACAACATAATATCAAATTTTCAAAATTTAATAAATCAATTTCAATAATATGTATATTCAAAAATTGTATAATTTAAATACATTTATAATTACTTTTTATAAGTAGTATTCAATAATTTAAATTATTATTTTATATATTTTATATAATTATCATAAAAATCAATTAAATATCAAATAAAAATCATAAAAATATTTTTTATACGATTTAAAATTTTATCTTAATTCGAATAAAAAAAAATTTAATTTAAATGTAATAATTTTAAAAATTCATCTCATTTAAATTGATTTAAATATTTATAATATTCAAATTTAAATATATACATAAAAATTAAAATATATAACACTAATTGGTTACGTTATTTTTTTATTATATTAATGCACTATATTCATCTGTTTCCGATAATTATAATCGAGTTTCATATCTATTAAAATTATAAATATACGATTTGTTTCTCTTGGTTCACTGTCCTGGAATATATTACTGACATTACTCAGCTTCTAGATGCGAAAGACAGTGAATATGTATTCTTTTCGTATAAGATTCGTATAAGCTTCCATATATTGAGTGAAGCTTAATTATAACTGTTAATCAAAATCGTGAAATATATAATACAGCATTGACATATCGGTCAAATAAATTCCAATTAAACATGATACCGCCAAAAGATGAACCGTTATGGTCTGATATCGCACTTCGTATGTTAATGAATACCGTTTCACATCCCATTGAATACGCTAAAGTTTTAATACAGGTAAAATATGCACAGTGGATAAAACCTGGATATTAAACCTTCATCGGAAGCTCATAATTTTTATTTATAACGCAACAGATCGGATATGAACCGATTCCACCACGACCAACAACTACTTTATTTGGACAACCGGCTTTAGCTCTACCTAACGTATTTCAATACGGTAATTTTATTTATTTTAATTTTTTTTATTCATAATTTATATTATATTATATTATTTATTTTATTTATATTAATTTTATTTATTTTAATTTTTTTATTCATAATTAATAGAAATTAAGAATTATTTTATTACAGGAAAATACAATAAATAATATCTTAATATTTTTTTTATAATTAATAAAATATTTCTTTAAATTATAATTTTACAGTTAGGTACATAAAAAATGTAGATGGATTTACTGGCTGTTATCGTGGTCTTATTCCAAAATTATGTGCCTATACTATGAGTGCAGTAGCTTTTGAAAAAACTTCTAAATCTATTAAATTTAAAGATGAACCAAGTAAAGAAATTTATGATTGTGATTTAGAAGAAAGGTAAATATATAATCTTAATTATTAATATTATTAATATATATAATATTTTATCTTTTAAATATATATAGTTTTTCTTAATGTTATAAAAATACATATTTTTTTATAGTCAGAAGCATAAAAAATATATATATGAATTCATAAGAGACCTGATTAGTAGAATGATTGGAATTATAGTTAGTCATCCATTAGATGTTATTGCATTAAGAATGATGGCACAATTTGTTGGTGGAGAAACAAAATACAAGTATATAATTAATTTAATGTAAAATATATATTTTGGAATTAATTATGAAAGTTTTATTTCTATAGCTATTTTTTTCTTTTATGCATTAATAGTGGATTATTTAGATCATTTGTGGAAGTATATAAAGAGAATGGTATCATGGGATATTATGCTGGATTATTGCCTCGCCTTATTGGAAATGCTGCTGTACTAATGCTAGTCAGTTCATCTACTTATGCTATTGATAAATACATTATAAGTGATCGCGAATTAAAACCATATGCTGTTTCCACCATAAGGGTAAACAAATTAATTAATTAATTAAATAAAGCATATATATTATAATAAATATTAAAACTTATACTTTTCAGTTTATAGCAACAACAATTACATATCCATTTTTAGTAGTGTCACATTGTATGGCAATAAATAATTGTGGGTAAGTTAATTAAAAATTAAATAATAAAAAAATAACTTAAATAATTTTTTATTTATTTTAAATAATTTAAAAATTAATTTTATAAATTTATCAAGGTTAATTGCTGGTCTTCCTCCACAAATGCCAATTTACAATAGCTGGTTAGATTGCTGGTCTCACCTTTCAGCTACCAATCAGTTAAAAAGAGGAAATAGCCTTTTATGGCGTTATTATACAGGACCACAAGTGATAATTAATGGAAAGCCAATACCCATTAATAAATACAATTTTCATTTACAAAGCACAACCTAGTAATAAGATGTTACATTTATTTGTATTTGAAAGACCAATAGAAAATCACTTTTGTGCTATGTACTTTTTTTTAAATTTATTGCTACAGTATATTGTTGCATTTATATATTCCCTTGAATTGATCCTAATTCTTTTTATCAAACATTAATTAAAAATCTTTTTTTTTTTTGATACAATATTGTATCAAAAAATATAACTTATACAATGATATACAATTGATTATATAACAAAATAAATATTATGTATTAATATATGTATTATATTAATACAAGTATTAATAAGTACTATATATATAACAGTTACTATTATTAGATCGACAATTTTTGGCATGCAATAATGAAATTTAAATTACAAAAATTAAATTTAAATTTAAATAAAACAATGTCTTTCAAAAGAATATGAAATAGTAATAGTTACAATAAATAATTTCTTTGTATATTTGTATTACATTTGATAATACTTGCTCAAATATCATTGAATTATATGTGTCTTATGTATAAAGTGTATAAATTGATGTTACGTTGCTTTCAAATTCTAATTTTATGTAAAGTAACTGTCTTCTTCAATAAATGATTTTTTATAATATTTGTACAGATAAATATAAAAAAATAAAATTACGTTATATAAATAATATTCGTTCCATTTTCATTTTAAAGACTTTACATACTCATTTTAAAGACTATATATGCTAAGTACAATAATGGTTTTATAATTTATAATATATTAACAAGTTTATAAATTTCTTTTGTTAAAAAAATTTTTATACATTTATTAACAAAAATTTGAAAATCACAATTAAATGATACAAAGTAAAATTCTTGAAAATAAATGATATTTAATTCGATTCTTATTATTTATTATTTTAATCATTCAAATCAAAGTACAACAGGCTATTGGCTATCAGGCATCAATAAATTTACACAAATATTGTATTATTGAATTTGTTTTTTTGAATATTCTATGATTATACTGCAGCCTATTAGATATATATCATTTTTATTTTTGTATAAAAAAAATATCGATTTGAAATTCAACTCTAAATACACGTTTCATCAGATATTATATTTGAACTTTAATTTACTTATATAGTGCAATGATATGAATGTGAATATTGAACAAAATCACAAATATATTTTTTTAATATATATCTTTACTTTTTAAATTCTACAACTTAAATAAATCTTGTACTGTAAAAATTTGAATATATTTAAAGCTACTTTATTTTATTTTATTGATAAAAAGATTTATTTTACTAAAGTTATTATTAAAAAAATTATTTATTATAATTCATTTTTCAATTTACAAAATATAATTTTATCTTTAAGAATAGAAGAAACATTAATTATTGTTGACCTTAATACTTCGCATATATTCTTATCATAATATTTAAATATTACAAGATTTTTATTTTAATTTTTTACTTTAATTCTTTTATATTAAATGTTATTTTTGGTTTAAACTTATTTATATTTTTATTTACGAATATAAAATGATATCCTATTTCATTATTTTCTGATATATAAATCTGATTGAGTATTAAAATGAGAGTATTAAAATTCATATCTAAAATATTTTAAAATAATTTATAGACAGAATCATAAAAAAATAAATTTCAAAAAATTAATTTGTAAATTTTAAAATATATGTTCAATATATATTCAAAATCTTTATAGCAAAAATTAAAACAAAATATTTGTTTATACAATTTAATAACTTTACATTTTATTAATATTAAATAATAAAAAAAAATTGTGACATTTTTTGATCTGCGAACATTCATATCATTTACTTTTAAGTTAACATTAAGAATATTTGTATAGGCATGACAATTTAAATTTATACTTAGAAGCTTATTAATAAATCTTGACAAACTAAATTTTAGTGCAAGTTAAAGAAATGCATTATTATATTTTTTTTTCTTGTTTTATTTATTGTTAGATTTTTTGCATCTATACAATTCTTTAAATATTTTATATATAGAAGATAATCATTTTATTTTATTTTAATTCCTTGAAAATTTATGTAATATAATGTCATGCAACTACAAGAAAATAATACTATAGAACTGTACATCATTTGGTTGATCTTCTTTACAATAAAGATTCAAACCATTAACATTTAATATTTATTTAACAAATATGATCTTATGCTATTATTATATTATGATATAACAAGTGATTACTATCAGTTTTTTTATTATCACGACAATAATATATATTAATTTCGTATTTTATATACATTGAGGAATACTGTCCAGGAATGTTTTACAGAATCAATTAAATATAAAGCATGTTTTAATTATAATTAATTTAATCTAAAATATGTCTTTGTACATTTAAACAATAAATATACTGCATATTAGAAGATTGTTCAGTATTCACATTCCTTGATAAAAGATTCTGATAAATATCTTGTATTTCTTTCAGGAATTTCTTTCAAATATTATATAATAAAAGATTCCCTTTCTTTTTTAAATACTATATATATACACCAACACATATCATTGATCAATATAAAAAGAGGCGAAACTTAAAATAAATAAAATACTAATATAATTTGTGGCAGTATATTAGTTAACTTAATATATTAATAGAATATAACTTTTAGGAGATATGATTATCTATCAATTAAATTTTTCATTTATATATTAATGCTGAAATAATATAAATTACATATTATAAATTTATAATTGTTCCCAAACTAAATAATTAACAATAATCTAAATTATATATATTAAATGCTTCAGAATAAGTAATATAAAAATTGTAATTTATCAATAATATTTGATAATGTTAATTGATTTTATACAAAATCAATGTCAAATATTTTGATATATGATCAAATAATAATTGTAAAAATATAATTCTAAAGCAATATATATTTTTATATTAATTTATCTGTGATTACTGAAAAAATAAACTTCTATTAATGAAAAATTTTTTTCTATATTTGGATTACAAAGGATATCTATAATGCAAAATTATTTATTTCTTTAATATTTTTAGAGTATGGAACTTTATGTATATTTTTCTTAATATAGACAATAATTGTAAAAATTTTCAGAGAAATATACAATACTGAAAATATAATAATAATTATTTTCAAAAGATTTTATATGTTTATGGTAATAAACATATCGATTTTTTAGAATTATATTTACTATGGAAAATTGATTCATATTCTCATTTCTATACATATGTACGATGGCTAATTTTTTAATATATCCCAAAATATCTTGTATATCTTTTTTAGAGAAAGAGAGTTTTAAAAACATATATACTTTAAAAATTATCTATACATTGTGCTTAATGTTTTATACTCATAATATTATCTTATATTTGTATTAATATTCATATAATAGTTCGAAATTTCTTTTTAGATATCTTCTTAATATTATATATAATTTTAATATATAATCCGTTTTCATTTTGCATAAAGTTCCATCATCATTCTGTGAAACATAATTTGACTTACTATAAACATTATATAATTATTTTTAGAATTACTTGACAAGTTATAGATATAATTTCATTATTTAAAATATCGTTGATCATTCAATTAAGAATAATATATAATATATTGAAAATGACAATTTTCTATTATACATTTGAAATTATTTTTGTTTAACTATAAATTAGGCCATCACAAAAGTAATAAGTTTCATTTAAAACAAATGACAATTACAATTATATTCATAATTAGTGCATATGACATATACAGATTTCTATCTGAGATACCTATTAAATTTACGTTGATATTTCGATTAGCTACTTTAGCAAAAAAATAATCATATTATGCACATTCATATGCACATTTAATATTCATTTTTCGTTCCTATCATAATTACTGCTTTATCATCTTTATATATCACCCTTCTACATATATTACAATATAGATATAGATAAAACAAATAATAAAATTTTGTTTATCTAAATCTTTCTTTAATACTTATTCCAATGTCATGAATTAATTTCTGCATCATGAAATACTAAAACTATTGAACAAATAGAATAATTATTTTAAGTCTAATTTGACTTCTGGACTTTCTAATGAAAAAGGTTTCAAATTTTCCACTATTGGTGTTTGATCAGGATCAACTCGTATACGAATTCTATTAGTTTCTAAAGATCGCGGAAGTGTACGTGGAAGATCATCTTTGTACGAACCAGATATAGGTGAAGTATATGGTACATAAATTCGTACAACATCTGGACTTGGTTGATGAGGCGTTGCCTTAGGTGTAGGTAAACCACCACTACCAGAGCTGCCATTAGAAATATTACTTTGAGTATCAAGACTATTGTCTAAGGCTTGAGACCGCGTTGCTGAACTAAATACAGAAAGGTCAGCTGTTGAAGTAACAGATGTATCTGCCAATGATCGGCGTGAACCATTGGGAGAGGCCCCATCATCAAGACTCGGATCAAATGAGAATTTGCTTCCTGCACATATATATAATTTTTATTATACTACAACATATTGAAACAAATATATTTTGATAGAATACTTTCATATAATAAGTAATGAAAGTAATATATAAATAATACATTTAGCTTAAAATTATCTATAGAATCGTTATGTTATTTTTCTTTATAAATAAAATAATGATAAATTAATTAATGACAATTAATGACAATCAAATTTAACACAATTAAATTTTTATAATTTAATATTGCTGTAAGAATATTTTATAACATGCATTGATATTTTAATCTTTTTTTTTTATTTCTTTATATGAAATTTTTTGAATATTTTAAATAATCATAATTTATTTAGAATTATTTCTTATTTTTTATTATATAAACAATTTATTAATAATAGCTTTAATGTAGTTTTAAAGGCAAGTAAAGTTTTGTGATAATAACATTAATTCTATAATAAAATTTATTTAAGATTATATTATTCAAATATAATATTTCTTTAAAATTTTATATATAGATATATATTTAATTATATATAGATGTATATTTTATTTATATTTGGCGTGCGTGTGTATATGCATACATGCATGCACATGTGTATACTCACATATAATTGAGCAATATTATATAATATTTTTTTAATATTAAAATTTTATCTTTAAAAAGAAAGTATTTTACAATTTGATATTATATAATATAATCGTATATATAATCATTATATCAATTTCTGTATTTTTATTTTCATTTTTTTTTCTTTATTCCTAATAATTTTCTCTTATTTTTATATAGAAATATTTGTGTTACTATTTATTATATTTTTATTATATCATAACTCACCGCCAAGACCACAACTAGTTTGTTCAACTGGTGTTGTACTTTCTCTACCATCTTCAACAAGAACAAGATCTCTACGTTGTGTTATAGATTCTCGCATTACATGTTGCGCTTCGCTAAATTCTTCGGTACGTCTTCCAACCTAAATATATTAAATATATAACACAAAGTATTCTTATTAATTATTTCTATATATTAAATTTTTAGTATTTAAAATAGTATAAATAATATATATTACTTTGCTTGCAAATGAAGGTTCTTTAAAGGTACCAAATGGATATCGTGGTAATTCATGCAGTAATGGAGGACCAGGATAATCCAATTTGGCACGTTTTAATTCTTCCATACTACGTTCCATAGTACTTATTACTGTATCATCGTCAAAACAAAAATCTTTTTCTAGTTTAATTTGCAAATAATTACAAAATTCATCTAAACTTTCCATTGGCATAAGAAAACGTTTATGCATTTTCATAACTGTGTATGCCATAGCAGGTAAAATACGATCTCCATCTAATAAAAATATATCCCAAATTCGAAGACCAAGACTAACAGGTGTCTGTAAATAATTAATTATATTTAGACACAATACATAAAAATAAATTTTGAAATGTTTTAGAGCAATAAATTATAAAATATTTTCTTACTCTTTCTTGAAAAACAACAAAAAACCATTTTAATGCATAAAGAATAGAATCACAACCGCATTTATCAAGTTTCCGCTTCAATTTCGGCAAAAATTTATTCATAATTTTATCGTGATGTTCTATGAAACGATTTAATTTTGGAAATCCATCAACATAAAATCCTATAAATAAGTATATTTGTTTGAATAAGTATTGAATAAAAACTATTTCTAATACTAAATATATAAATCCATATTCAAACCATGCATGGTATATTTCTTATCAGCAAGTAAAACAGAAAGACCCCAAAATGCATCTTCTTCATCCATATATAGTAAAAGTAATCCAGCTAATACAGACATCCCTTGGCAATAACCCACTTCCATATTGTACATGCTATATGCAGCCAATACATAAAACATAGAACGTTGTTTTATACTATATCTTTCTCTGTTGAAAATGAAAATAAAAATTTAACATAACTTTTAATAAATATATATCAATTTTTTTCATACTATCAATCATAATTTGCATACCTATAATTGATATGATCTCTATATTGTCTAGCTACATCAGCATCGATTTGTCTTATTTCTGTAGACCATTGACGTGCAAGTTGTAACATCTCTTCATATTTACCAGCTTGTTCTTTTTTTAAATTTTTAATACCCAATAACAATGCCCACACTTGACCACGAAATCTATTAGGAATCCCTTTATATATTCTGCGTCGTAATTTTTCCTTAGTTGATGAACTATCCCATTGTTTTGTCATTTTTTCCCATTTTTTTAATCTTTCCATTTCTACTCGATGAGTCTTAATTTCATTAGGATCTGGTTTTTGTGGCAAACGTTTATCACTAAAATATAAATATTAATAAATATTAATAAAAAATAATATTTTTAATACTAATAATTTTTATTATAATTACTGTATGAATCCATATCTGTCTGTGGTATGATATACTTCAAAAGTAGGATCTTCCCAAGGATCAATTTCTGCTCCATTTTCTCTACCACGGTCGTAGCAGCTAAATATTCTATCTCGCTCTGCAGCAGACCGTTTTAATAATTCTTCCTCATTCATCCCCCGTGAGAATTCGCAACCAGATTCTTACAAACATGCCGTCTTATTAAGAGAAGTCTATTCACTTTAGGCTATTATCTAAAATAAAAATAAATATTTATAATAAAATAAAAAAAAAACTCTCTTTTATATTTCAAATAATTTCAATATATGAAATTTATACACATATTAAGAACAAAAATTAAGAAACATTAATATATCAAATAAAATTATATTTATAAAGTGATTTTAATTTTGATCTTATAAAAAAGAAAATATTAAATATATTGTAACCTAAAATTAAAATATAAAATATACTTTTTTATTTATATCAGGAAGAAGAAAATTTTTATCTTATAAACTTCATTGTTCTAAAGTTAACATACCACGTATTGACAAGGAACAAGGTTATATACATAGAAATTAAATGATGTCTTCAATAATTGATTTAAATCTTATCATCAAAAAATTGATTGTATAATTATAAATATTTCATATTTATAAATTAACTATCTTTCTTCGTTTCATAATATAAATATAAAATCATATTTGCATAAGTCGTTCAACAAAACTACCATACATACTTACATATCAGTACTGCAACTTCAAGCCGGATTCGGATGTTTCCATTCTCTTTTATAAGTGCTACCAATATATTTACATAAAATAAATAACTTTGCAAAATTAATCTTGTTAGAACATATTATTATAAAATTTATATATTTTTTATTTTTATATTTTTTTTCTAACCATTATAATATTTTTATGAAAGAATATTAATCATTCTATATATAAATATTTAGATATTAATATGTATTTCCAACTTTTATATTTTTAAAATTTAAAGAATTTATTTTTATATGTATATAATTTTCTATTTATTTTTATTTAAATATACCTATTTATATATTATTAAATTTATTATTAAATTCGTAAAAAATTGCAATATAATATAATAGTTATTTATAATTAATTTAAATTTACTTAAATAATATCTAAAAAATATTTAATCTGTAAAATATTTAATCTGTATATCTTATGATAAATTTCAGTACATTATAACATAATGTAATATTGATATATTTAATAGATATTAATAATAGGATATTTAATATTTTAAATCAAATTTTAAATTAAAAAATCAAAATATTAGTTATTTTAAAAATTAAAAAATTCTTTAAATAAAAAGTTATAAAAAAAATTATTTCCTGATAATTACAGAACTCATCATGAACTTTTATATAATTTTAATTCTTAAACAATTTCATATATAGTAAAAAATTTTGTTATAGTAAAAAATAATGCATTAATAGATTATTATTTTCAAAATTATTAAAATAATAATTGTTTAATCGATAACTATTATGAAATAAAATGTAAATTAATATATTAATGAATTTAATTAATAAAATTAATTTTTTAATTTCTTAAAAGAAAAATTTAAAGATTAAAAAGATTTATTTAAAAATGAATTTGAAGCTTATTAATAATATCTTATTAATAATATAAATAAAAAATCATGATAATTGCGAAAAATCTTTGTTAAAATATTCATTAAAATATTAATTATTTTTATAAAACCAAAATGTTCCTTTGTAGATAAAAATTTGTGGCCCTGAAAAGGGCCATTTTGTTATTTGACTTAAAATTTAAGCCTTTTTTTCTGTTTTTTTTGGTAAAAGTACAGCTTGAATATTAGGAAGAACTCCTCCTTGAGCAATAGTAACACCAGATAAAAGCTTGTTCAATTCTTCATCATTGCGGATTGCAAGTTGTAAATGTCTTGGGATAATTCTCGTTTTCTTATTATCTCGCGCAGCATTTCCCGCCAATTCTAGAACTTCAGCGGCTAAGTATTCCATAACGGCAGCCAAATAAACAGGAGCACCAGCGCCAACTCGTTCTGCGTAATTTCCTTTTCTTAAAAGTCGATGAATACGTCCAACTGGAAATTGTAATCCAGCTCTATTCGAACGAGACTTTGCTTTTGCTTTTGCTTTTCCCCCTTTTCCACGACCAGACATTTCGTATTAATGTTTCAATACAAAGAAACGTTGCACAACACAATACAACTGCGTGATTCAACGAACAGATAGAAACTGTATTCTACCCTTTTTTCCAGGTATATAAAGCTTCCGTCGTAGTTGCGTTCATCCAATGATTAACGAAGAATAATCTGATTGGTTTGAAGAAAGAAATGTTACATACTGCAACTTATTTTTTCTTTCAATAAAAATAATAAATTGTACATATTTTAAAAATTATTATTTTAATCTTAAATAATTTACAATGTTAATAATTTTTATATAAAATAAAGAATTTAAATAAAATATTCAGAAATATATATATATATATATATATATATATATATATGTGAAATGAAAATAAGAATATTAAAATTAAAATTAAGAATATACAAAAAAATGATACATAGAAACTCGAGAATATTGTTATTTAGAGTCATGTTTCGTGTTCTCTAGCGAATCATAACGTATAATCATAATGTAAATATATGTACATATAACATTATTTTTTTTTATAATTAATTAATATTAAATATATTAATATTAAATAATATACATATATCATATATGTATATTAATATTTTAATATTTTCTATATAAAATTCTTTACTACTATTTTATTTGTTATATTGTAATAACTATATTTATTATATTATGTATATATTATATTATAACATTTCAACCTTCACTTATATGTATTATAGTATACTATGTATTTGAATTACATATATATATATTATGTGTATATTATATATGTATATATATTATATATTATTTATAAAAACTATTTATAATGGTCAAAATTTTATTCGAAATTTTTATTTGAGAATGAAATTATTTAAAAATTTTATAAATATAGATTTCATAATTTTTTCTTTTTATAGTGTAAAAAGTACTATTTAAAAATTTATTTAATTTCAGGTATTATTTAATACTTTTAAATACAAAACAACAAATAGAATGACATAATTTAATTAACAACAACAATATAATTGACATAATTTAATTAACATATAAATATTTAAAAAGAGAAATTATATGTATTACTCAGATAAAAAATTTTTTATTATATTATTTATTTTTTATGTAATATAATGTATTTTTATAAAGAAAAAATAAACTGCATATATTTATATATAATATATTTATTATATATAATATTTATATATAATACATAAAAAAAGATATAACCATATGTGGAATACATTATACGAAATCAATTTCAGTGGCATTACAGTGGCACCGATGCACCAATCACATGACAAGAAGTTTCAGTCCATAACCATGGATCGTTGCAATTGGTTCGCCATTGCTATCTCATTCTATTATATAAATAAGACATAGTCCGATAAAACCATTGCACAACTGCCATTTGTAAAGGTAAGTTGTGTAAAAAATAATAAATTCGAGAATTTTATATCGACATTATGCCGCCAAAAGTTAGTGGTAAAGCTGTGAAAAAAGCTGGTAAAGCTCAGAAAAATATTAGTAAAGCTGATAAAAAGAAAAAAAGGCGGAGGAAGGAAAGTTATGCTATTTATATTTATAAAGTGCTTAAACAAGTGCATCCTGATACTGGTATATCGAGTAAAGCAATGAGTATCATGAACAGTTTTGTGAATGATGTATTTGAACGTATTGCTGCAGAAGCATCAAGATTAGCGCATTATAATAAACGTTCTACTATTACTTCTCGTGAAATTCAAACTGCTGTGAGACTTTTATTACCTGGTGAATTAGCCAAGCATGCAGTTAGTGAAGGTACTAAAGCAGTTACCAAATATACCAGTTCTAAATAAGAAAAGATAATATCCTATAAAAACGGTCCTTTTCAGGACCAACAAAAAAACTTTAAATGTTGGAACTTCTTTCAATTTTAATTATAAAAAAGTAATTATGACTGCCATGTAATATATATAACAAATTCTGTTTTAAATGTTTTCATGTCTACATATATACCTTACAATTTTTAATATTGAAAATTTTAAAACATAATTATAATAAAAAAAAATACTTATTATTAATGAAATAATTTTTTATTATATCAAGTTTCTAAAAGTTTTAAAAGCATACAATGTTACAATTATAATAAATATAATATTATTAAAGGAAAGTTTTAAATTTAAAAACATTAAATGTAAAATATATAAAATGTTTTTATTTTTACATAATTAATGTGATAAAAAAAATGATTCATATTATAAATATTACTAAATTTGATTTTATGGAGAGACATTAATATTTATAAAAAAAGCAGTTGAGCATTTATAATTTTTAAGTATTTACATTTTTTTTTGACAAATTTTTATTTATAATCTGTTTATGAATAACCTGTTTCATCATATTTTAATTTGCAAATATAATATTTATACAATTTTATAAAATGTTATTTCAATAATAAAGATTTCCTTTTACATACGATTTAGAACATTTTGAATTGATCTAAGTCTTGTTATCAATTCTTGTCCATGAGGTTTAGTTTGTAAAGTAAGTAAACATTTTGAAATTACATCTTGGCATTTTGTTATTATTTTTCGTCTGTAATTTAATATCAATTGTAATTAACATTAGTCAAATAGAATTTATATATATGAATATATATGAATATATGAATATTTATAAATATATAAATAAATTTTTACTATTAGATTTAATAACTTAATAGAAAGAGTAAATAAAAGGTCATATTCATTGATTATTAAATGAAAGACTTACTTGATAAAAGTGTTGGTTATATTTGAATGCGATATGAAATAATTGATCAAATTTGCAGTTGATTCAATAAGATGAAATTCATTTCCTTCATTCAACCAAGTTCGAGTGTCTTTGCCAATCATTCTAATAGAAAATATTATTTTCTTATCTATTAATTCTAAAAATATATTATTATATATACTATACTTACTTATATATATCTAAAAGATCTTCCATTGATACTCCTAATTGCAAAAATCCAGATATAATTCCAGTATTTGACACATTTAATTTACATGCTTTTATTTCTAATTGTTTTATCAGGAAGTCTAAAAAAAATATAAAAAATATATTTTGCAATTTCATTTTACATAATAAAACTTTTATCATTTTATATCATAAAAGAATTATTACCAACTGGAAAACAATGTGGTGATCCTGAATATTCCTGCCCCAAAGATATAATTTTACTCATTAAAATAGTCATCTTATCCTCTGCTGTTGATGCATCTTTTAATTCTATGAATAAATGTTGTTTAAATGAAATTATTTATAATTATATTAAAATAATAAATATATAAGATAAAAAAATTTGAATACCATTGTTTATAATATTAGTCCAAATTTCTTGGATTAACATTGCATCTTGATGACCAGAACAATGAATTATAGCTAATTTACACTCTGATAATTGCAAAGGATCTGCATATTTTTCGTATAACTGTAATTAATAAATAAAAAAAAATAATATAATTACAAATATTAATAATTATATATAGTAGTAATTTCATATACGTAATTTCATTAATTTATAGCTATAATAA